TATTCTTTTCAGGTACAGGACGTTTCCAGCCTTAGAGCTTGATCGTGCTTGTCGAGGACAGTCTCACATTCATCTGATTACGTAAGATTTCTCTCGATGTTTCTAGCATTATCTATTTTCAGTTTTCAGTTTCAGTTGAACTTTTGGTTAGGGGTCCACCAGTGGATTCCCAAGTTATAACCTTGAAGTTTTGGAGGATTGGGGTTTCATTTTTCAGTTATACATGGAGGGTTTTATAATTATTATTTCTTTCAGCTTTATTCTATCTTTATTATTTCTTTTTGTCATCTGTGTTCGCTTTAAAATACTTTAATTGTTTGATATTCCCTCGGGTTTGGGCCTGGGCCTGATCAACTTGTGTCTCGGATCTGAGGGGTATCACAGTTATGGTATATATGATTTTATTACTGTTAATCATATTTAAACAGAGGTAGAAGTATAATGAATCACTTGAAATTAACTATGCTTGTTTTGGAATAAATTGATACTTATTTGCTATTTAACTGTAACAATTTATTGACAATTTGGAGGATGTAAATGCTTAAATTTATTTTAGCAATTTACATTATTGGAATATGATTTTTAGGCTCTATAATGAATGCCTAATATTGATATATATGTATTAAATTAGTTGATGCATATTTTGGAGAATGGTTGTTAAATATATAGTGTTATTTTATTAACTATGCTATTTGGAGGATTGTATGCACCGGTATAGGACGGTGGTATACTAGGGATGGATTAGTTCAAATATTAAGTCTTACCTATTCTGGATTGAGGTATGGATTAACCATAAAAGTTAAGTCATACTCATATTGGTGTCATGTCAATAAAATAATTGAATGACCTACTTTGGTTTTTGGATAGATTGTTATACATATATCAGGCCACTATACCAGATGGATGATATTTTGTATTAGGAGTGTATGGACTTTATATATTTATGTTATGGTGCCATGGTATGAGCTTGAGTCTCAGGACCATGGTTAGCGTGCGTATATCGCCTAGGATGGATAACTGGACAATAGTTATTGTTCCTTGGTAGGTCTAGGTACACATGACCACATTATGTGAGATTTGTATGGTATATCTACTCAGGCTGAAACAGACTTATTGGACTAGTTAGCGTCCTATAGTGCGTACTTATATATATATGAACTACTCTAATTTTTGTTGAGCTATTTAGGATGTATCTGCGTATCGAGTTTCTGTATGGATCATAATAGAATAGGACTTGCATGTGGGCCTGACTCACTCTCTTATTTTTCAAGTGCTCGTCAGTTCCAGGGTTAGAGCTTAGTCATGCAGAGCAGATACAGACACTCATTCCTCCGACTACGTAGGACTATTTTTCATAGTTGGTTTTAGATTTTATTTCAGTTATTTAAGTTTCAGTTTGGGATATTATTAAGGGTCTACAGGATGGATTTCCGAGTTGTTAATTAATATAGAGTTTTGATTGTATTAATTATAACTTTTGAGGATTTTTTAATTAGAATTCTTTTCAGCCTTTATTTATTTATTTCCTATTATTTCGATCTGTATTCTGTGTTCGTTTATATATTAATTATTTGATATTCCTTCGGGTTTGGACTTAGGCCTGATCAACCCATGTCTCAGATTCGAGGGGTATCACAGAGAATGAAATCCGTTTTCAGATGGCAACCGAAATTGCAGCAGTCCTTACAAGGAGGCAGACCCATGAGGACAGGTGTGATATTGACTTGCAATAATATTGGTGGCAATAAGATAGTCCATTCGAGTGCCTTTAAGATGCGTGAGAGGCAAGTAGTTGGTCACAATAGAGATGTGAGGAAAAGTCAAGGACGTCCTATTCTCCAAAAGGGTAAGAAGATGACTTTTTATTACCAGCCGGTGGTTTGTGGGCGGTTGGAGAAGGTTGTTGAAGGAGATGTCAAACTTGAAATTTCTGAAGGTGTCTTTGATAAGCGTTTAGAGTTTGACAGAAATACTGGAAGTATGCTTGTGACTGTGCAAAACATGCATGGGTTGAAGAATGAGAGCCCGAGGGTTAAATTTGAGCATGACTCAAACTTAACTAAAATTCTCAATTAGCTTGTGTTGTGGAGAAGACAGGTTATTTAACAGAGATACAGTGGCTCATTTGAATTTTCGCCAAGGTGGAGATTTGTTGAATTTTGTGGCTCAAATGAGGTCAGCAACTACATCACCCATTGTGTCATCGTCAACTTGCCAACCAAGGTGAGTGATCAGCAAGTAGGCGTGGTCAGCAAGATTGGAAAATGTCAGCAGTTGCAGTCCTTGTAATACTTGATCATCGAGTATTTATTTTGGTGACCCATCTTTGGCTATAAATAGCCATGTCTCTCATGCATTCCAAATCATCAAAAAAATCATCAATTGAGTGAGTTTAGAATATCAGTTAGTGACTGAGAGATTTTGGGTATAATTGGGTTTTGGGTGTGAGCCACTTTGCCTTATATCTCTTTTATTTCTATAATGAAATATTATTTTGTCTTCTTCCCATGGACGTAGGCTTAGCTGAACCACGTAAATCCTTATTTCATTTGTGTGTGTGCCATTTTATTTTTCTTATCATTAATTTTCTCTTGTTCTCATAAACTCTTATTCGATCCTTATTTTATAACAGGTATAAATTGGTAGGTATGCAGCACTCTACCTACTAGCTTAAGTTTTTGAGTAAATAGGCAGTCATTCACCTATTATAGTTGGTATCAGAGTTAGACTGCCCGACACGGAAACCAGGGTAGCCTGAGCTGTAATGAGGGCGTTGCGAGTTCAGGTGGGGGAAAGCTTGTCCTATATCGGATTTGGATGGAAAAATGAATAGGATATAAATGTATAGGTATGCAGTACTATCCAATAGCTTAAGTTTTTGGATAAATTGGTAAGCGCTCACCCGAAATACTTGACCACGTAAATAGTGGGGGCAAATTTTTTTTTTTATTTTTTGTTATTGCATTTGATCCCCCTAAATTTGTATTTTTAAAAAATATATTTATACCTATAAATTTTTTAAATTACCCCCACTGAAATTGTGAAAAAAAAAAAAAAAACTCTCTATATAAATTTGTCACCCCTCATATAAATTTTTAGATCCGTCCATGCACAGTAAGGTTATTTTTCTTAAAGCGTAAACGGATATGTTACTTCTTCATTTTGATTCTCTCTTCTCTCTTCCTCTGATTCTTGATTCTTCTCCTCTCTCTTTCTCTCTCTCTCTCTCTTCCGGTTCTGTATCACTTTTTTTTTAATATCATAAACTAGAAGATTAAAAAAAAAAAAAATTTAAAATTTCTTCATGTTTGCCAATACATGTTTGCCAATACAGTAATGTGGATAAAAACAATTGCCTACAACTGTTGTTTCTCTCATTTAGATTTTGTATCCACGCAAATCAAATGGAAACTTTTAGAAGATTTACTCGTTTTCTCTTCTCTCCGTTAGGGTTTATTTATTTTATTATATATATATATATATTTATATAAAACTTATTTTTTATTTTTATTTAAGATTGGTTTTTCTTTTCAAGTATATTTTCATTTGGTAAGATATTAATACCTCTTCTAATGACAACTCTTATGCATATTTTTCACGGTTTGGAAAGATCTCTTCTTGGAAACTATATACTTGCAGTGATTCAAAACTCTAGATGCTAAGAAGAAAAGCGAAGGCTAAGAGGTTTTGAACAATAAGTGTGGATAAGAAGGTATTTATATTAGCCGGAGGTATAATCTTGCATGAGTTTTGGGTCTTCTCTCTCGATGTGTATATCTACCATCACAGGAGAGATAAGAAGAATTGACGAAACAGACGAAGAACCAGATAAAAAGAGGAGAGAAAAACGTAGAGGAAGAGAGAGAGAAAAGAAAAGTGGGGAGAGAAAATCGAAGAAATGCCTAGAAATTAGCATCTATCAAAGAGTTAGATTCGGTATTATTTTAAGTAGAAACCTTCAAATTTTCTATCACTATTCTTTTACTTTGATATTTTAATTTGTTGTGCAACAGTAAATTATTTCATGATTACTTATTTTAGTAAAGATATTATCTCAGGAGGGGGAAAAAAAAGTAAAAAGGAAATGCATAAGGAAGAAAAAATTATAATAACTTGGAATATGTAAAAAAACCAAGGTTCAAGAAACTTTAGAAAGCATTCGAAGTTTTGAAGCAATATAGTGCTTGAATTATTGTGGATCTACATCCAACGTGATTTTCAATGGAAACTATACAACTCAGACTTATAAGTTTCGAGGTCAGATATATATTTTGATTGAAAATATTTCATGTCTTGTGTTTTATCTGTACAACTTACCTGAATTGTGCCTCTGCTCAACTCCTGTCTCCAAACATTCAGCATTAAGCATTGCTTTGAACACAATTAGTTATTTGTGCTTACTTCTCAATAATAACAAAATTAAAAAGGCCCAATAAATCAATATATATAACACACATTAACCTGGATTTTTTATGTTTTTTTTTCCTTTCCTTCCCTAATAACCTGGATTGTGAAAAAAGGAAAGAACAAAAAAAAAAAATTATTAGTAACGAACAGTGTTTTCAAAGTTACTAAACGCCATTTCCAGTTTCCAGAATAATGAGGTAGTTTCATGTTTGAGCTGGCCCAAACCGAGCCCGATTGCATCATCAATAAAAAACACTTTCTGACCAGATCTAGGTATGGGCCTATGCTGGTCGCCAGAAAAACCTAAAGAATCATATGAGTTGGGTTCAACTGTCTTGGCCCAGCCCAATTTGATCAAACTAATTTCTCTACAGGACCGATTTGGTCAAATTGGGTTCAGGATATAGTTGTGAGTCTTGTTCCAACCACCGACCCGATAAACCAGAAACACGTGATGAACACCGTAATCACCAAATTATCCCCCAACAATCCCACTCACCCCCTCTTACGCAACATTATCCATCAAGGGCAATTTCGGAATTGGATAACCGAACACCCCAGACGGTCTCTATTTTCTTCCACCAAAAACGGTTTCACTATTCTCTTGCTCTCGCCCCTCGTTCCCAACTCAGTAATTTCTCTCTTCATGTATAAAAAGTTATATATATACTTTATATATATATACCTTAGGTTTCTGTACGCAGTCCTGATTAAAGTTTACGTTCACCCCAGTTCTGTTTGAAGCTTCTGCTTATCTGATTGACGAAACAGTATTGTCGCCTCGGGTTAGGGTTTTATAGTCACCGATCGATTCATGTCCAAAAAATCAAAGCAATGATACTTTCACATATAGGACGCGCTCTCTCTCGTTCCTCTCGCTCTACACTCCAAAGAGTAAGATTTAGTTCATGTTATGTTGAGGTTTAGCTCATTTATTGTTTCTTTGAGAGTTTGATATACATTTGTGGTTGTTTGGCAGAGCGTTATACCCTGCAATCACGGTGTGAGGTCTGTGCTTCTGAATGAATCGCTCTCGCCGTCGATTGATGCATGCATTGCACGCTTTGATGGCGGATTAGGGTTTGTGAGAGGTTATTTGACTTCCATTGGAGTTGGGAGGCAGATTGTTTCCAAAGCATCTTCATCAGAATTTCATTCCGTTTTCGCGAACCCTCATCTGAGGCGGTTTTTCTGCAGTGAGGGGCCTAAGAAGAGAAGTAAGAAAAATTGAGCGTTTTGATTATATTGTTGTTTGGATGATTATTTCTTCATTTGATTGATACCCTCTTTTGCTGGCACTTTGTTGTAGATTACGAGAAGTATTACCCGAAGAATAAGAAAGAAATCCCCAAAGAAAATAATCAAAAATCGGGGTCTAAAGGTATGATTTTGTTTTTTGGTAGGTAAGTAACTCACGCACCCAACTCACAGACACCCCCAAAGTTGGCCCTAAAGGACTTGAATCCTCAACCTTCCATTTGGAAGGAGGAGGAGATACCACTTGAGCTAGATGTTTGGTTATAGGTATGCATTCTAATTGAGGAGCTGTGGTTTTTATTTTTTTGGTAATTTTCTATGATTGGTGGGAAATTTTGGTTTTATTCAATGCAAGTATAACTTATTTTAGAATTATATTCGTTTTTTTTTTTGGCCAAGTAAAAATTGAATTTTATGTCAAGAAGCTTGGATTTTGATGTATGGGAAGCTACATTCTGTCAGAAACTGCTGGTAACTAGTTAAAAAATGATCAACAAACAGAATTTCTTCTTGTAGAATGATATGGCTGGACATGTTTTAATTTAGAAACACAATACCGTTCGCTTTAGATTTTCAAAATTCAATGATTTAAACACACATGATTACATAACAAATACTACTATTTGTAACTGCTGGTTCATTGGGGGTCTAGATAGGGACTTTGTTAGAGGATAGTGCGTGACAGTGTGTGTGGAGACCAATGCTTTTGTGCGAAAGAATGTAATTATTATTATTTTTTTTTAATAAGTAAAAATATATTAGAAAAACGTTCAAAAGGGGAACGCGTCCCTAATACAAGAAGAAAAAAGATCTAAGGACCAATAGAATCCAAGAGATCAAAGAAATCATCAATCGAGGAGCATGCATTACCTCTTACATAACAGAAAAAAGAACGAAGAATATGAATTTTTAAATTAGCTAAAGATGATTCTTTTCCTTCAAAATTATTATCAAGGGTGCCACAGATGCCCAGTTAGGTACTGAAATTATCTCTTATTCGGAAAAAAATAAAGTTGTGGCATATGAAATCATATGTTTGCTAGTGGTGATTGAAGGGAACTTTGAAGTTGAGGTTCCATTTCCTACCTTTTATTTTTTCTTCAGTCCTTCAATGCAAGATATTCCTGATCTTTTATTCTTCTTATTTTTATTTGTTTATTTATTTTTTTATCCATGCTTAAAATTCATGTCATGATTTTCGCCGGGGGACTCAAGTACAGGCAGTAATGGGAACTCTCAGGAGAACTTCATGAAGCAGTATCAAAATTTAGTGACACCTTTGTTGTTTATTTCACTTGTGCTTTCTTCAACCCTTTTGAAGCCCCGTGATCAGAAGCAGGTCAGTGTTTGTTTTATCGAAGTTTCAACATTTCATTAACTATTCTTTACTGGATGTGTAGGTGCATGTTAATACTTAATTTTGACAGCTGCGTATTAGTACGATGTTATATATGTTGACGATTTAAGCGTTTCAGTATACAACCATATGTTGTTAATGCAGCTTTGGGCTTCATAATTAATGCTTACTATTGGCAACAGCTACACAATGTGCAAGACCTTCATTTGAAATTCTTTTTAAACATGAAACAAGAAACCATTCTTATGTCGTGTTAAGGCAATGTTGGTGTTGTATTCAAATTAGAAACTGTTGTCTCATAATTTTTCTCATTTAGATGGAATCATGTTCGAACTTTGAACTCATTATTGCATGCCCTTTGCTAAAGAATTGTAGTAAGGTATCTTATGAGAAACAATTGGTGCATACTTCATGTCATCTGGATTTATATTCTTTGTTTAAGTACGTAATTGTTTTTTCCTTCTCATTTACAAAAACATGAAGTTTGCCTAGACTTCAGAAGCAACCGATTTCTTTTATTTTCCATAGGTGGTGAAAGAAAGCATATACCTTTTTTTTTTATATGTAAAAGCATATACCTTTAAATCCAAACAGTTGCGAGGGGTGTTTCAAAACAATAAGAAAGGAGGCATTTAGATGCCAGTCACTATGTTGTAAGCATTACAGGACTACAACTACAAGAATACGATAACTGGGACGTCCTCTGGTTTTTAAGTAAATGGCATACCTTAACTGAGTTATTCTGCCTCACATTTTAATACCCTTAACATTGAGTCCTCCCTCTCATAACCATAGTGGTTCCGTAAAAAAAATATAATTTTTTTTATAAAGGCACGCACACTCAAACTACTCTTGGATTGTTCATTTACCATTCTTCAGCAATCCTTTTCATACCTCTCACCCTGTAGAACTAATTGTGGCTTAAATTCCCAGGAAATACTTGTCTTTTGGTACTTGTAAGTTTCTGTGGGTAAGAAAAGCTCAAAAGGCTGAGATGTCTTTAAGATGAAAGAGTGAATTTTATTAAACCATTTTATAATGAAGGAATTGATTATCAATTACTTTACTTGCTCTATTGCTCATAAATCAGTGTCATTGCAAACAGAGATGGTAGCTAGGGCTATGTTAACTGGACTCAGGTACGTGTGTAAGGACATGTATGTATCCAAGCGTCAAACATATTAAAATCATCCAATAGAAGAACACATGAACATTGCTAAATATTTATATTATCTAATATTCCTATTTTATATTATAAAAAATAGTTTCTTTATTTTTATAATGTTTAATATAGATAGATCACTTATTTGAAGCAATAATAATAATTAAAAAAAAATGATTTATTGGATATTCTTTTTAGGTGCATGTCCAACCAAAAGTGTTGGGCACATTAACCAATACCTATGTCCCAATATCGGGTACTTCACCTATTTTTGATGAGTCCATGTAACATGGATCTAGGGTTACCTTCGGAGAAACAAATGTGTAGCAAGGATCGAATATTTGACTGTGGGAATGATTGAGCTTGTCAAAGTAGGATTTTTGTGGTTGGTAATAGTGTCATTGAAGTGTGTGCAAGTATAGAAGTTTTGGAAAATAAAGAAAAAACTTAAGAAGAATAAAAGGAAGACCTTAGGCATGGCTTCTAGAGTCCCTTAGGAATCACATCTAAAAAAGCTTAATAAATCTGTGGAAAAATCTCTGGACCTATTTATTTATTGAATTGATGATTCCATGGATTTTATTGACTTCAATGCAGTCCTGGTTTCAATAGGACTTGGACTCCATGGTTATAAATGTAAGTTATGTAAACTAATGGATCTCTTATAAACCTGGTAAAACCATACATAATGACCCATCTACTAACAAATTTAACACATGGGTCAATTCAAGTCTAGAAAACCCAGAATTTTCTATAATATTCTCAACTCGTAAAACAAAAGAATAAATATATAAATTGAACTAGAAACCAACTAACTTAAATAAAGCATAAAATAAAACTGGATGTAAACAACAAATTTTCAACCAATTTTCAAGATTTCTTTCTTTCTTTATTTATTTTATTTTTTGGTTGACGACTTTTCAGCATTGGCCATTGGTTGTTGCAATCGTTATTTTGATGAAAATTAAGGATAAATTGTTTCAGTTGTTTTGTATTGTTGGTGGAGTTGGGAGGGGATTTTGGACTGATAAAGAGGTTTGCAAGGTTGCAGTAATTTCAGCAGCTTGCTTGCGAGGGTAAGGTGGTGTCCAAAATATTTTTCGTGGAAGGAGAAAGAGAAGTGAAATAAGTAAAAGAATGACTATTAGGAGGGAGAAAAATGGGAGAGTTAGGAGTAACGGTGGCCATAGAATATTTGGAAAAAGTTGTTGGAGCAGGAATTAGAGTGGAAAGGAAGGAATAAAAGAGAAATTATGATCAAGTTTAACGGAGATAGGAGAAATATATTGTTTTTGTGAAGGGAGTAAAATCAGATATTTGTACCCAAAACATGAGACAAAATTAAATTGCGGAATGTGAATATTGAGTAAGAAGTAGCATTTTCTAAATGATTGCTTCTCATACAAATCATCAATTATATGTTCTAAATGATTGCTTCTCATAGAAATCAGCAATTATAAAAAGGTGTATCAAAGTTGGTGGCAAAAGTCACGACTTTTTTCTGGTGTAGATGGAGTTAAGTCGGAAACTTGGTTTTGTACCCAGTATAAGTGGATTCCTTTTATGGTATGGACTATGCTATATGGACTCTGCTAAAGGACGTGAAAAATCTGTGCTAGATGCAACACCTAAGCAATGATATGGGATAATGTGCCAAGCACATCTGCTTCGGCATGCACCTAAAAAGCAAGAAAGTCTTCAATACAATTGTGATACTATGTCATTTTGCTGATGTGGTATCATCAATCAACTAGATCTTGTCATGTAAGCATATTAAGTATTGATTACTTGGCAATTAATGCAAACAAATGTATGCATGTATTTTGATAGGCCTCACGACTACATATTTTGATTTAATTGATTGGTGGTACCACATCAACAAAATGATATCGTATAAACTTTGTATTCAACTTTTCCCCCTTGAGTAACATATCCGATTATTCAATTCTTTTATGTTATTATCTCAAAATGAGTTAGATGGTTCATAAACTCAAAAAATAATCTTGATGATAAAAGAAAAACATTATATAAATTTAGTATTCAGTAGTGCCCATGTGTTATGTTGTTTAGGGATTAGACATCCAACACTTGGATACATACTTCCACTTGAACATATTGAAGTCTATGTTACATAGATATGATACATTCTATCCTTAGATACATACTCATACTTGACAGACATACCAGAGTCTATATAGCTGTGCGTGTGTTTGTGTAGGTATAAATAGAACCCATATGTATGTATACCTGTGCTTGGTCACAGATGTGGTACAATTAGGTAGGTATTTCTCTCTACTGTTCAATATTTTTATGCCAGTGCATTAGCGGATAGCAACCAATATTCACATTTTGTTGATGATATGGTGCAATACTATCCATTGAATCACCATCAAGAAATAGCAAATAGTGAAGAGGTTCTGTGTCCATTCTTTCTTTCCCTTGTTTTGGTGTATGGGAAAAGAATATGTCAGCATTGGAAGCTTGCAGTTGGCTAATTTGTTTGCAGAATGAATTGACAGTAAAGGAAGTAGACATTAGAACGATTTAATGTGAAAGAGACAAAGAGTGAATATAAATGATAGATTATACACTGTTGAATCTACATTGACCAAACTCTGAAAATTGTTAGATGGAACTAACTAAGTGCATGTCTATATATGAAGCATTTGATATGTTGTTATTTTTTTTTTTTAATGCATTTGACTGTTGCATGAAACTAACACATCAGTGAATGAAGACCAATAACAATTTGATTTTAGAGCCTTAATACAGAGTGGTATAGAAAATGTTAAGTATAACCTGTCAAAGCTAATTGTTACATGAGTAAAGAGAAGGAAGAAATCTGGAGGAGTAAATATTTATATCTTTCTGAATTCAACAAGTCTTAATCATATATCACTATGGGGATGGTTTCCCCCCAACATGTTTATTTTTTTTATTTTTTTACCTCAACTGTTGCAGTTTGTTATTGGAACAAATAGTATTGAATCATGCTAAGATAGAAGTAAGTGACAACTAAACAAAATGTGCTATGTATGACTGACTTTATGTGGACAGATTAAAATCCAGAAAATATGTCTTTTACAGCTTACTTCTTCACACTTCTCTATTTATTTTATTTTCGATTTGAATTGTTGAATGCCCTCCCTTATCCAAGAAAAAAAAAAAAAAAAACTGTTGAATGCCTTAAATTTCCTATTAAGGCACTTTATTTTATACCTTATCTTATTTATGATCCTAAAGACATATTCATGTATTCTTAGTTTTTAGCATTATTATGCACTTTTTTTTTTTTTTTTAATTAAATGCATATTTATTTATATTATTTTAGTTAAATTTGTCAAAATAAGCTTGTTTGCACCATCATCGCTTCCATAATTGCCCCTATCATCATGGATCCTTCTCTTAGATTGGTTCAACCTTTTGTCGTACCCCAGGGAATTACTTTTGTTGAGCATGTATACGCTTGGATTTTATATTGTCTGACATTATGCATTTGTTGAATATTGATACTTCCAATATTTCCTTTCCTATAATACATAAAATATGCCTTTGTTTTTTGATGGTTTATTTTTTTATTTTTTCTAATGAATATAATCTTCAGATTAGTTTCCAAGAGTTTAAAAACAAGTTGCTTGAACCTGGATTGGTGGACCGCATCGTTGTTTCAAATAAATCAGTTGCCAAAGTGTATGTGAAGAGCTCACCACCGGTTACTAATCAAACCAATGACGAGATTGTTCAAGGTCCTGTTAATGGTAACCATGATAAAAGAAATGTGAGCCATTATAAATACTATTTTAATATTGGAAGTGTTGATTCGTTTGAGGAGAAGCTGGAGGAGGCACAGGAAGCATTGAGGATCGACCCTCATAATCATGTTCCTGTAACATATGTAAATGAAATGAATTGGTACCAAGAACTAATGAGGTTTGGCCCAACAATCTTGATTTTGGGAGTCCTCTTTTTTATGGGGCGGAGGATGCAGCAGGGTGGGCTAGGCGTTGGTGGTCCTGGTGGAAAGGGTGCTCGTGGAATATTCAGTATAGGAAAAGCGCAGGTTACAAAAATGGATAAGAATGCCAAAAACAAGGTCAGCAATGGCATTCATTTCATATTATTATCTTAGCAACTACAAAATTAGCACCTTCTATGTTACCAAATATGCAATGGCATTTGTAAGTAAGTGTTTCATCAGATCAGCACTAGCAATTTTGTATTTATTTATATTTGGTGATCCAGATTTTCTTCAAAGACGTGGCAGGCTGTGATGAGGCAAAGCAAGAAATTATGGAGTTCGTGCACTTCCTCAAGAACCCTAAGAAATATGAGGAATTAGGAGCAAAAATTCCTAAAGGCGCTCTTCTTGTGGGCCCTCCTGGTACAGGGAAGACACTTCTTGCTAAAGCAACTGCAGGTGAATCTGATGTGCCTTTTCTATCCATGTCCGGGTCAGATTTTATGGAAATGTTTGTTGGAGTTGGACCAGCTAGGGTCAGGAGCTTATTTCAAGAGGCGAGACAATGTGCACCTAGCATAGTTTTTATTGATGAGATAGATGCAATTGGTCGAGCAAGAGGGCGTGGGGGATTTTCAGGAGGGAATGACGAGCGTGAAAGTACTCTAAATCAGTTGCTTGTTGAAATGGATGGATTTGGGACCACTGCTGGAGTAGTTGTGCTTGCTGGCACAAATAGGCCCGATATTTTAGACAAAGCCTTACTGAGGCCTGGTCGATTTGATCGTCAAATTACCATCGATAAACCTGACATTAAAGGCCGCGACCAGATATTCAGGATCTATTTGAATAAGTTAAAACTTGATCAAGAACCATCACATTACTCTCAAAGACTTGCTGCTTTGACTCCTGGATTTGCTGGAGCAGATATTGCAAATGTTTGTAATGAAGCTGCTTTAATTGCTGCAAGGAATGAGAGTTCACAGATTACAATGGCACATTTTGAGGCAGCTATAGACAGGGTCATTGGAGGTTTGGAGAAGAAGAACAAGGTATCTTATTTCTCCCATATTTAACCTTATGTTCATTACCTTATCTACTAATCATTTAACTTCATGTTTGCATCTCCATTATTTGATCCACTTTTATGACTAATGAGATTAGCGCACAATGAGTTTTTTCCCAGGTGTTAAAGAGTTATTTTCACGTGACCACTTCTTGCTGTGTTGGTTTACAAGCATTTAGTTGAATGAGCATCTTTTCTGTGACAAATTTCATTGCTTTTTTTGGTCGTTTTTGTTTAGAAGTAATCTCATGGCGTTGTACTCGCTGGCCCCGAGTGTATCCCATTTGTACCTACAATAACTTAAATAAATAAATGTATAAATATTACGACTTTGTGAAGTCGTATAATGTATAGAAGTTATAAGTCAGTAACTTTACTTTTTGTTGGGCAAATTTCCTCAAGTTTTATCTTCTTAAATTATGTGTGCAGAGAGCTACTTCATAAATCCCATTTTAATAAAGCCTTTAGCTTTGACCCATAAGATTTCTCATAACCTATTTAAATGTCCTATTCAACCGCCTAAAGAAGACTCCTAGGTTGCTTTACCCCCTTTCTCAGACATAAACTTCAATCAGGACTACGCCACTTTTCCTAACTGATGAGTCTGATGTAGATATTGGCTGTTGTTGGACATGGGCTACATGGCCAAATCATCTTTTGGTTTTCTCTTATTTTATTTTTCAATAGGTGATAATTCATCCATCTCATGAATGTGTTCATTTATGATTTTATCCATTTTTGTTTTACCACAAATCCATCTCAAATATAGGTTTTTGTTGTGGTCATTTTATGGATATGTTGTTTCTAAACTGCTCAACATTTTGTCCCGTCAAATATTGTTGGTCTAATATCTGTTGTATTAAATTTACATTTCAATTTTAGAGGTACATGTAGACGACAATATGCCAGAAGCCCTCCTCCATTTAACCCATCCTACTTTAATTCTTTTATTGACATCTTCTTCATTGAACACATCTGGTTTAGATTCTGTTTGTCCGAATTTTGCTTAATTGTCTTCAATTGATTTCCCTATTGACCAGATTATGGCTTACGAAAAACAATGTGATTTAAGAAGATTTCATTGGTTGTGGTAGTTCAGAAATGAGGTAGCTTTGGGTGCACAGCTTCATTTATTTTATTGTTGTATTTTGGTGCCTAGATGGACCCCAAAAACAACCCACAAAGACACAAGATCCTTTCTCCGTACTTTCTTATTCTTAAGCTGCTCACTGGAGTTTCCCCATCCCATTAAACACTCTTTGTTGGCTGGTTTTTTGACATTTATTACCTTGAATAATGTGTAAGCATGGTCAGTTTTTGGTTTCAATTGCGGATTTAGTGACTCCAATATTAAAAATAAAACTGAAAAATGACAGCGTGGATTCATGAACATGATTTAACATGGTAACGTGCCTCTGCCATCATAGTTTCATGTTGGTTTTTGTTTGGGGTGTCTGTGTGTTGGCAGGGATGGGTGGAACTTTGGGAATTTGAGGTGGACTGAACCTGTTTCTTCATGCAGGTTATTAGTAAGCTGGAAAGGCGGACTGTTGCTTACCATGAATCAGGTCATGCTGTTACTGGTTGGTTCTTGGAACATGCAGAACCATTGCTTAAAGTGACAATTGTTCCTCGTGGTACTGCGGCACTTGGGTTTGCTCAGTATGTACCTAATGAAAACCTTTTGATGACAAAAGAACAGCTCTTTGATATGACATGCATGACCCTTGGTGGTCGAGCATCTGAGCAGGTAAATTTATAAACTCCTTACCGTTTTACTTTTGGGTCTCCCCAATAACGAATTGTTCTATAGTGGAAATCGAGTTCGTAAATTGGCTACTGCGTACTCCCAAATTATCAGTTACTTGTGAATCTTACACACAAAGGAATCATGTTGCTATATAATTTGAAGGACAGAATGGTTTCTATGTATTTCTTGTAGAAGATATACCACTCCTGGCAACACACTACTTAGGAGATATACCACTCCTCGGAAGTCGGAACACACTATTCCCGAAACTATACCATTATAAAGCATTTGTTGTAGCACATTTTAACATGGAAACACGTTTTTCTTGGCATCTAATTATCAATAAGTAGCTTCATACTTATAATTGCCTTAAACACCCACTGCTTGAACTATTTAATTGTGGTAATGTTATTTTCGTTTGGGAGTAGGTTTTGATAGGAAAGATCTCAACTGGAGCCCAGAATGACTTGGAGAAAGTGACCAAGATTACATATGCTCAAGTAGCAGTCTATGGTTTCAGCGACAAGGTAGGTCTTCTTTCCTTTCCTCAGAGGGACGATGCATTTGAGATGACGAAGCCTTACAGCAGCAAGACTGCTGCAATTATTGACAACGAAGTTAGAGAATGGGTGGCCAAGGCATATGAGCGGACAATACAGCTGATAGAGGAACACAAAGAGCACGTAGCTCAGATTGCAGAGTTGTTGCTTGAGAAGGAGGTCCTACATCAGGATGACTTGGTTCGAGTACTGGGTGAACGACCATTCAAGAGCAGTGAGCCTACAAATTATGATCGGTTCAAGCAAGGGTTTGAAGAAGAAGATAAAGAAACGAAGGAGGCACCCCCCGCGAAGACGACCAAAGAGGAACCTTTGGGACCTGATGATGTTGTGCCAGCATAGTGACTGAAGAGGTCTTATGGTTGTATAGATGAAATTACATTGAAGTGACATCATCGTTCATTGTCTGCCCTCTTTATTTGAGGTTAACTAAATTGTAAAAATCATCACAGCTGCAATAATAGCACTAACAAAATTTTTGCTTCATTGAGTATTCTCTGATCATGTCATGATATGAGACCTTTATTATGAGAGCACTCTTACCGAAGCTCTCTTTCAGCCGTTGGATGATGAATAGTCTCACAGTGAGATTCCAGAGCTCACTGTGATGACGCTCTCATTGTGGTATATTCTGGAAATGTATCAAGCTCATATGAATAGCACCGAAATTTGCCAAACTGTCATAGTTAGAAGTGGGAGTTGTTGTCCAGATCTATTGTGGAAGTTATGGGCTTCTTTTTGTCTTGCTATTTTGATAGGTTGAGTATCTACTTATTTGTGAATTATTTATTTGTGAGATGAGTAGTGTCTAGTTGTTGAAGTGCTATATTTTGTAGCTGCTTTTTCTTTGTTGTGTCTGTTTCTGGAGATATGTTTGGTAAAAGCCAAACCGACATTGTATGAATGACAGCGATTGGGCGGTGGTTATTAATTAAGATGTGAAGAGAAATCTTGTGAAGGAAGAATCTTCATCACAGAATTTGCCCTGATTCTGATATATGGTCTTTAGCAGTTTCCTACTTAAATATGATATTATGTAAATAAAAAGGGGCTAACACCCTTGGCCCAATCAATCTCTTCTAACTCAGGTCCAATTCCTGGTTCAGATTTTGCCACATTAGAACCCTAGAGAAGGGTACTTTGGTTGATGGATATATTTGATTTGATTTTGTAGATATACATACAACATAGACCAACTCTATGGACTGCTCTCAACCTCAAAATGAGTTTTGTGGATCTAAACCTCCGAAAAGTTCTATGCCAAATATAGTTTTGGACCTATAGAATGAGGAGGATGGACCTATTTGTGGAGGAAAATGTTGTAGCGTTGTGTTATAAGAACATTTTTGTAGTAGCACAACCATCTCGAAATGAAAGTTACTTGGCAATATATTGTCGCCAGTGAAATGTTTGTTCATTGGGTCTTTCAGATGTTGCAATGGATGTGACACTATGGGGGGGGGGGGGGGGGGGGGGGGGGGCGGGGGGCGGTGGTGTTTGTCCCAAATTCTCAGTGCACAAAAGTGCACCATAGGTGTCAATTTATGGAACCCATACATATTACTGTGGGCTTTTGTATCCTTCTGATTTTAATTATATTTGTGTAATAAAGTAGGTGTTATTTTTATGTTCAAACAAAGGACTAGAGAATGTATGGTTGTGTTTGGAGTTGTTATCTCACAGTGTTTGGAAGTATAAAACCGGGTATTGATATAAAATTATGTTACATTTGGAAGTACCAAAATCAGTGACTTAAAATTACAAAAATTTAATTTGAAATTTATTACCAATTTTTCTCGGATTCTAATTCCAAGATTAAGAATTTTTTATTATTATTATTTTTTTATGTAACAATTATAAGAAGTTGAATTGATGGTTTTAAATATAGTTTAACCCAACCACCAATGATTTGTTTTTGTAGAAGACGGTTTTGGATTGGATGGCACTTTATTGAGAGTGTTTAGTGTGTGGTGGGAGTAGATTGGCACAAGATGGAGTGTAGATTGAAAATGGATTAATAATGTGGTGGGACTGGGATCACACTTTGTTGGTTTAAAGCTAGAAAGGGTTGCCCATGGAACACATCCAAAATGGTCTCCGACTTGGAAAGCAAAGGAGATATGCCCTCCAGCACCGCAAATAATTCCAACACCAATCATTGTCACCCTAATTAATTGGCTTTGCCAAATCTCAAGTTTTTATTGTGAGAATTTAATACGTGTCAAATAATATCAAATGTTACCGTTAAATCTTAAATATGTATGACTAATCAGAACAGTTGCATTATTATCTAAGGAGATTATGATGGTGTGGAGGGCAATCAAATGTTATGTGTAGCAATTGACACATTATAATTTGTACTTGTAATGTCCCTACAATGGAGATGAAACTTTTTTTTATTAACAAAGGGCAAGTTCTCTCAACAATGGACTTTGTGCATTAATTTAGTGGGATGGTTGTAGCCTTGTATTATTTAAACTTCCTTTTAGTTGAGTTTTGTACATATTTATAGGAAAAGTTAAACATGACACACTTGAATATAATTTATAAAATAAGTATTGCATAAAGAACAAAGCACAGGCTCTACAAATTATTCTGAAGAACAACTCTTTCCAAACTGCACCAAAAGAAAAAAAAGGGTACGACTTTTGGACATGTGAGACACAATTACATGTCACATCTACTGAGTTTATATATATATATATATATATTTCTAGTTGGACTCTTTTCCAATGTTAGTCAAAAGAAACTTAAATAAGAGCTACAAAATTCATGCAATTTCTTGTTTTAATTGAAAAAAGTTCCCTTAGGTACAAACTTACAAATGGTTAAGCAAAAAGGTTTGGTAAAACAATTATAGTGCCTCTAAATAAGTAGTTTGATGGTATATGAATATTTTTTTCATCTCATGTTATGAAAATAAATTTTAAAAAAATATAATAAAAATTCCAAACCGACGTTAGCTCAAATAGTACGATGTCTCCTTTACAACTCAGTTAAAGCAATATTAATCTAAGTGTGTGCTCACGTTTTTTGCAACTTTCGGAAGGAAAACAAAAAAGTCCCAAGAAAAAAAGAAAGAAAAAGAAAGCATATTCCACAATCATTCTACATAGTTGTAGGACTATTTTGTTTTTACATAGTATATCATTGATGCAATTAAGCTACAACTATGTGTGAACGTGTCAAGTAGGCAAGTAATTAGAATGGGCGGAGAAATATTATTCACGGGTCTTTGTGCCCTAAAAAATCTTGATCATCTCAATAATTCAAGAGTTGTTATATCAGGATAATGAGGATAATTTAACATCTGTATTTATATTTATTTATTCAAGTTATGAAATGCATTATTGGTCATGTAGATGTAGTTCCAAAACTTTACACCTGATGTACTTGAGCAGATCGATCAGGTTTTAACATTTAAAAACTTAGATGAACTTCAGCTCATTTTCATCATGTGCTTGCCTGCATTATTGGCCTTGCTCTCTCACAGTTCCTTTGCTTCCAAGCATTAATTAAGCTTTAAATTGATTATTATTATGATTATTATTATTATTATTATTATTATTATATATATAAAGGGTCATCACTCATTGTTTTTTTTAATGAAATATGATTCTCTAATCCATAATTTCATCCGAAATCCAAGCAGAACCATTTATATTTTTTAAATATAGATGCATCTGTTAAAGTTCTCGGCTTATATAACATAGTTCATTTTTAACATTTAACATCCCCAAATACTTATTTACTGCATAAAATAACCATTAATCACCACACATAACATGTGCACGCGTGTACGTTTATATATTAAATAACGCTATTTGAGCTAATCGAAGTCGAACTCAACGCATCCGTGGAATGCATTGTGAACGGATGAAATTTAAAGTGAGTTTCACAACGATGCACCGACTTCTACTCAAAAATCATTATTCATATTGCTTGAAGAAGCTAAAATCCCCGAGAATCTTACGATTTGAAAACCCTAATTTAATATTGTACAACCTTCTCAACAATTTATAAGCAACGTTGACAATAACATAGCTGGCACTATCTTATATTTTTAAAATTCGATTAAAATGTGATAAAATGTTTCATCTCCGTTGCTGTAGCTTTCCTCGTCAGCAAACCTCACCTACTAGAAGAAATGAGTCCAATAATCAAACTATACGATTATATTAATAACAATAACAATTAGTAATTTTGTAATAACTATAAATAGGTCACATTCATAGCCATCCAAGTGGTATATTTAATTATACAAAAAAAGAAAAAAAAAAAAAGGTGGTATATTTAATTGTGGAGAAGAAGACCTGAATTGAAAGATTTCTAAATGTCACTCTCAGAAAGAAATCAAAATTATTGCCAATGCAATGTTTTTTCAAATACGTAATGACTAAACAAGGGTCTCCTCTTTTCCATTTTCTGTCTATTCATCTACTTCATTCAATATTTTCTTCTAATATATATATAGTAAAGGTTCCAATTATATTGCTCTCTCTCTACACATTAGAAAAAGAAAGTTATGTCATGATCTGCATAATTAGTTGGTCATTTTCACTTCATTATACATACACGTAGATTATATGTATGTATTATATATGTAAGCATACAGATATGTCATATTTATATAATACTAATATAAATACCCCACACAAGTACAACTATGCAATCCCAAATAATCATTTTGCTGCAGTGGCAACTGGTAAGGGACATTTTCTTTAGTATATTATATAATCATCATATATCTCATCATTTGATGAAAGATGTTCTCTAAAGAAATCATTATGTTGTATATTTATTGTGTGAAAGTGATAAGAACAGAGTCCCAATAATGCGAGGTTACCCTTTTTTTTTCCTAAATTTTGGTGGTCAAGCTCCTAAGTGCCAAACATAAAATGAACTTTTCAGTGGATTAGCATTATTGTTTCATCACCAATTCTTAAAAGGGATTGATTGTTCATCTTCCATTCATTTTAAGGAAAAAATTGCAAAGAAATAGGGTTAATTAAAAAACTATTATCGAGTATCTGGTTTCTTTTTGACAAAAAAGATAGAGACCTCTGTCTGAGTGGCATAATTTGAACTCTTCAAAGAGGAGGTGAGGATTCGATGTCTACAATGAGTATTTGTGAAAGATGTGTATGAGAGAGTATTTACCTTATAAAAAAATGAATAAATAAATAAAAATGATTGTTGTTAAATTTGAACCGGCTCATTGTATTATTGAGTCCCAACATTTATGGAAAGAGTAATTGAGAGGTTTGCAGTATGAGTAAGGTACTCTTTGAGCCCTAACCATACAAATATGTATGGTCTTTAGATGCCCACTTTTAAATGAAAGAAGCTTTGTCTTCTTAGGTGCAAAGCATACCTAGTAAGCATAGAGTTGTAAATTGCCAATTTTTCTTGTCAAGCTTTATTGGAAACTCCTTACTTAATTCATGATTGTGAATTTGTGTTGGCCAACTCATATTCTAGAAGGTAGATACTTGAACAGTATGCCATTTAAAACCTTCCAACACTACCCTCACTTAGGAGGAAGAAAATATTACATTATTAGCTATGGTGAAATGCATTTACAAGATAGAATTTTAAATCTATCAAACGTCCAACTAGTCCGATGTCTCAAAAACTATGGGCCGCCCACAGCCCTATAAGACATTCAACGCAATCTCTAAAACATTATATAATGCCATATATTAGATTTTACTCTGAAATATCAAAAGCAATCTGTAAATTTGACAAAAGGTGTTTGGAACTTTTACTTCCACCAAGGATGTAATAATAAAAAAAGGAACATATGTTAACTTTGTTTAATCACCTTTTAACTTCTTTTGTCACAGGTATTTTATTGGTATACATGTATTAAGTGTAATTACTTACATATTATACACACACAACACATGGGTACAAGCACAAAATAGAAGTACCAGTCCATGAATCACAATATTTTTATATATCAGATGCTGATATTTGTTCAAATAGAAATGTGATAAGGTCAGAGAAACCAAAACTCCACTTGTGCCCAGAAGTATCTAGATGTTTTGATATGGAACCAAATATAAGTATCTATATTATTCAATGACTAAAATGTCCATAATTACTTTAATTATTCTACTATTATTAGTCTTGTGACTTATGAACCATGCATACTCAAATCAATTTAACAGAATCTTATCCCGATTATTTAGAATTTGCTATCTAATCTAATGCTATAGTCTCCTCTAAACAACACACTTTTATCTCTTTATTTAATGTAAGGCCAATTGTGTGCATTCTAATTTTAGGTGTGTCATTATCTAAAATAGGAGATAAAGATTATAATTATAAATTTAAGCATTTCCTAAAAATTGTATGGGTAGGGGTATTTTAGTCATTAAGAAGGCTGTTACAGCAGCTTAGCTTCTGCCACGTGGACAAATAATTGAAGCCTCACATTTTTTCAACCACTTCGTAATTTACTTAAACGAAATGGGTGTTTCAAGCCTTGTTTTCTGCAGAATAAATAAATAAATAAATGGATGTTTTCCACTTTAATTATATGCAATTAATATAAGAAAATGAATAAAATAATATATTTGTCATTCAAAAATACATTTAATAAAGGCACTGTACATGTATTCTCAAATTTAATAATCGAATATTCAAAATTACTTGAAATAGAGAAAGAGCATGTTGTTTAGGTTGAATTAGCCTAACATAAGCTAACAATTTCGGTGAGTTGCACTTACTTTAAAAAATACTGTGTATTTTTTAAATAAATGTTTTTTTTTTAATTTCATTTATAAAAAAATTATAAATGAATTGCAAGTGGAAGAAAATGAAATGTGAATATATATATATTTTTAGTATTCAATAAATTATCATTTTATTATTTTAAAAATAAAAAAAGGACCCAACGGTTTGCCTATTTAAATCCAACGAGTCCCTGCTCTTCATTCTCCCTCTCCCCTTCATCGTTCAATCTTATCGTGTAACTTTTCTCTCTATACCCATTCGCATTTGGCTCCCTCTCGTCTGCCCTGCCTTGTTCCTTCTCATCCCATTACTTTCTCTCTCTAGAGTTCGTCTTCTTGAACTTGGTATGTTGTTGTTCTCGAGATTTTCAAATATTTCCGGTTCTATGGTGTTTGTTTTTTCTTTCATTTTCTCTCTAGACCACATCCATGAATAATTTTTTTTAATAATAATAATCTTAAATTAACGTAGTAATGTTCAGGAAATTTAAGGTTGTTTTGAAAAAATGAGGTCCCGGATTCAAGGTGGAAGATTTTAGGATTTTAATGTGTGATTTCATAATTGAATTCACTTGTTACTCTGGTTTTCTGTATCTCCTCTGTTGCTGTTAGTTAACTTCGTGGTAATATATTTTGGAAAATCATTCTAATTTTGAATTTTTTATTTTTATTTTAAATTTACTACTTTTGATTAATGTATTGCCTTGTTGGTAATTGTTAATATGCTGAAGGTTGCTTTTGTGGACAATTGTTCAATACGCACAACTTTTATGTTGTCTGTATGATAATATAGTTAAAAAAGGTTTCAAACCCATGAAGTTGCTGGTCCACCTTTCTTGGTCCTTCAATATGGGGTATTGGTTGTGGATTGTCCTGTCCATTCACAAACTCAACCAATCTTTATCCCAACTGATCGGGTTTGATTTATAGCTTCCATTCATATAGACTCGTTTCATTCTTTTGTCTGTGACCTGAATCTATAGGCTGCAAGATTTGACGGATTCAATTACGTTTAAAGCCATGAAAATTTGTAGACTGAGAACTATTAATATGAATGTTCATACTAGATTTTCTGGTTTAAAATGCTCACATCTTTCCATTATCTACTCAAGTTTTTGTAGATCGAAATGGAATTTGAGGGCCGTTATAGACAGGCGAAGAGACCAAAATATGACACACTCTTGTTCGGTAAGCTTATTATTTTACAAGCCCGGTTGGCCAACTGCAATTTTTGCACCAAATATGATTCATTGTGTGTTCATCGAACATGCAGATTTAGATGATACTCTCTATCCCCTTAGTTCTGGTTTGGCAGTTGGATGCCGCAACAATATTGAAGGTAATTTTGTGTCATTGTTATTCTACCCGTCCTCTCCTATATTTTTAAATATTCCCCCCCTTCTTTTTTTTTTTTTTTCTAATTTTAATTTGTATAACCTTTACTAGATTATATGGTTGAAAAGCTTGGCATAGACGAGAGCAAAATCCCCGACTTGTGTAACCTACTATACAAGAACTATGGGACAACGATGGCCGGTCTTAGGGTATGCTTTTATTTTTATCTCAACATCGTCTGTAAATGTCAAGCCAAGAGCATTTATAATAAACTTTTTATTCATGGACCTTTTCTGCAGGCAATTGGCCATGATTTTGACTATGATGAATATCACAGGTGAGAAAAGTCGTTTTAAATGCTGTAATTTTACACAATTCCTTTTTTCTTGGGGTGGTTCTAATAAAGGAGTTCACTTCCCTGCTTTGCAGCTTTGTTCATGGGAGATTACCTTATGAGAATCTAAAACCGGATCCTGTTTTAAGAAGCCTTTTGCTAAGCTTGCCAATTCGGAAAACCGTAAGTATATTGTTTGAAATGGATTACGTTAGGAAGAGTGTTGGTGTGGAGTTGTGTTCTTATGACATTGTTTTTCAATTTCTTCTGTATCTTAGATCTTCACAAATGCAGACAAGGTCCATACCCTTAAAGTACTTAGTAAACTTGGGTTGGAAGACTGTTTCGAAGGGATTATATGCTTTGAGACTCTTAATCCCATTCACAAGAGCACTGCTTCTGATGATGAGGATGACATTGAGTTCGTGGGCTCGCCATTTACTTCTTCAACTCCTACACGTAGCACCGAAACATTTGACATCATTGAACATTTTTCTCAACCTAATTCAGGGTCGAGATTACCCAAGACACCAATTGTCTGCAAACCATCAGAAGCTGCCATTGAGCGGGCTCTCAACATAGCCAACATCAATCCTCACAGAACAGTAAGATGACTGAGTAACTGTATCATTTTTACATTGTGTGTTCCAAATTAATTGCTATTTTAATGTTGAATTTTGTTGCTCTTCAGCTGTTTTTTGAGGATAGTGTCCGCAACATACAATCTGGAAAGCGCGTAGGTCTCCACACCGTGTTGGTAAGTCACTGAAAATTTTGCAACCTTAAACAGTGGCTGCTATTACTTATTGATGCTGTGAAAATTCACCTTTTTTCATTTGAGAAGTGCCGCGGCTCACAACCATCCAGCCTCATCCATTAGACGGGTTGGAAGGTTGCTATTGTCGTGTCGTGTTTATATTGAGGAGCTTAACATGTTTAATTTGATTAGACCTATTTAATTATTAACCAGATCAACCCATAAACTGTTATTTCAATATAAACCTTAAAATGTTATTCCTAACAAAAAATGATGATAAATGCAGGTTGGGACATCTCAGAGAACTAAAGGTGCAGATTATGCATTAGAAAGCATCCACAACATGAGGGAAGCATTGCCGGAGCTTTGGGAAGCAGAGAAGATGACTGAAGTTGGTTACTCCGACAAGGTTGTGGAGGTGACACCTGTGACAGCTTAGATTTGTGTCATAGTTTTTCGCCTGAGGGGAGAAACCATGTAAATATAATGTATCTTTGTATATGGGATCTTGTCATATACCAATTTCCTGTTGATGCTTTGCTGTTAATAATTATTAATCAATAAATTTAAAATCTTTTGGCAACTAGACACACAATTGCACGCATTGATTGTTATTTCAAAATCAGAAAAGTAATAAATGAGGAAAATAATTAATGTTTACTATTAAGTATTGTCCTGTTAATTTGTACCAGCAACAGTCTTAAACAGACTGAAATTAGCAAACAGGAAATGCTGATCACAGGTTGTGGTTTTTGTGGATATGGATGTGGATTTAAATTTTCTGTTAGTCTCTATGGTTTAATAATATCGGTGAAGTGGGTTGTCTCCGGCCTGCTATTTGGTGGATCTTGGCACATTTTGTAGCCCAACACTCCATGGGCCACAAGAGGGCCTCCAAATTATTGTAGATTGTAGAGATTCTCTGTTGTGTTTGAAAAAGGATAGATTTGGAGGAATAATTTAACCTTTTTGTATTTTTTAAAGTATATAAAAAAATAAAATAAAAAGGAAAATAATGTTTTAAAAAATTCCATGATATCAAAATTACCTTTAAACTGTGAAAAAACAATATAAATTATATCTCACTCCTAGTCATTTTTTATTTTTATATATGCTCCTCCATTCTCATTTAAATCCTATAAAAACATTATTTTTCTTAAAAATTAAGCTTATGTGTTATGGCTCTAAAAAGGAATTTTATTTTATTAAATATATTGACAAACAAATATAAATATTAAAAAATAAGCGAATGCTTTATTGGTTCAGATATTTTTTTTCTCTCTCCACATCAAGCAAGCACTGTAAGAGGAATCCTTTCCGGCTTATGAATTCACTGTTATTATATCTTTTGCCTTCGTGATCAAAATTTTGTGCTGGGTAAATACATATATACTACTATTAGTATATATGTAGTTAGTGTGTATATCAGAAGGATATAAGATATACATTTAATATTTTATATATATATATTGTAATCAACATATTAATGGTCTAGCGGTTTACTTTTTAAAGGGGAGGTGTTTTGGAATTGTACTTGCAGTTGCCTTTTTCTAAAATTTGGATAGTTTGTGTTTAAACTAATGAAAATAAATATTAATTATGAATAATAATAATAATAATAAATACACAAATCAACTTGGCGAGTCTGTTGTTTTAGGTTGCATATATAGGGAGACTCACGGATAAGTACCAAGGCTCAGGTTAGCCTATGAAATAAAAAATTACATTTTTGTTCCTCTTCATACAGTTTGATAGCCTTGATTCATTTGTCACATATTTGCTTTGTTTCCTAGAATAATTAGTAATTAAAGCCATACATACATACTACAGGGTGGTGGGTGGTGCGTAGTGGGTAGTGGGTGGCGGTGGAATAATTGGTAATTAAAGCCATACATGGTGGTGGGTGGTGGGTGGCGGGTAGTGGGTGGCCGTGGTGGGTGATTGAAGTGATATATAGAGAGAAAGTGGGGTGATATAGAGAGAAGATAATTAATAGAGAGAGAAATTGTTTGTTATAGTATTTTAGTAATAATGAATGATTTCTAAGTAGAGTTAAGTTAAAATCACCACTTTAAAATGGTTGAGAGAATTTTTTATCAAAAATATTTATAAAGGGCGTTTTTCGCAACTGATTAATAATTGAAGAGAGTTTTTTTGTAATTCGTAAAATATCTCAATACCCTACTTTTTAGAAAAAAAAATTTACTTTTTCCTCCCTTCAAAGATGAGCATAATTGCATCCCTCTATTTTTTTCCTTTCTTATCCAAACGCCATAAAGAAATTATATTATCCTCTAATTTCATTTTTTTTTTCTCATATTTTTTTTTTTTCTGATTATCGGTAAAGCTGTTTCGAGAACTTTCGCGCCCTGATGATCGACTACGGTGGAAAAAAAACTAGTTTCATCCTACCAGTCTCCGTCTACTGGTCACGACGACACGTGTCTCAATCATACGGAGTATTAGTTAGCCTTTTCTTTTTCCCTACGTCAGTTACAGGATTAACCCTCCATTAATGTCATAAATATTGTTTGTTGAAGACCTTAATATCACTTACCAGAAAAACATTATATCACAAGAGCACACAGTCACACACCTTTCTCGCCATTTCTACAACAAACAAGGAATCAATAATCGGGTTTTTCTCTCTAATCAGAAATGGCGGATTTAAACCGAATCACAGTTCTTGTTACCGGAGCTGGCGGTAGAACTGGTACTCACTTCTCTAATTTTCTTTATTGAAACTAAATGTATGTGTATATATATGCTTATGTTCTGTATGTAAGTGAATACCCAATTTAATATCTTTCTGTATACTCGATTCTGGGTTGGCTGAGATTCATATAGTTGGGGACTGCATGTTTTTTAGGGTCAATTAGTTGCTGTTATTGTTGTTGATAAATTGGGTTTATTTGTATTAAAATATGAATTGGTTTATAACTTTGAAAGTGAATTTCATGGAATAGATTATGTTAGGACTGTCAATTGCTCCAAAAGCGTAATTGATATAGAAATGGGTCCAACAATATATGTCGTCCTCATAATTGGACAGGCAAACATGCATAGTAGAGCAAATTGCAAAACTTGCACACCAAACCAGGGGAAACAAACGCAATTGTGGAGTCTTGAACCTCAAGACCACTTAAAACCAAGGTTCCGATACCATGTTGTTTACCATCTACTCGAAATAAAATTATGGGCCTTGTTGGTTCACTTTTCGAAAAACTGTTTTCTTAAACCGAAGAGCAGAAAGCAATATGAAGATTAGTTTGCTTGATAATTTTTTAGTTAAAAAAGGCATATCAATAACAGTCTTTTTATGGTTCTCTAAATTGTTTTTCGTGCTTTTAAGTTCTTGAACCATTCAAGTTTTTCGTGTAGTTAGTGGTCTGAATCTTTTAATTTTTTTAATCATCTAATGATGGGAGCAAAAGAGGGGTGAGAGAAGCGAAAAAAAAATTGCATCCAAATGGTGTTTTAAGACCGCTTAATAATTAAGGTTGTAACATAAGCAATGAAACGAGCCCCCAAGAGTGATAAGCTTGCATCAAGTGCTTTTTGATTTTATGGGGTTGTTGCATACCAACAAGCTGAGGCCTAGTGATTAGTCCTGTAGGTTCACTTATTAGGCCTAATTCTGAGTGATGACTCATTTTTTTTTTTTTCCCCTAAGTTGAGTGACTCCTTTTTTAACCTAAGTTGAGTGTCTCCTTCTACCTAATGAAAATTTGACTTTACATTCACATATCAATTTCCATATTCTATTTATGCTGCCCTCTTTTAAGGTTGTCCCTTCTCTGGCTTGAATTCAAATTCGAGGTAAGCACTGGTATGTAGAGACACAATCATATGCCAAAAGCACCAAAACTGAGGGTACACATTATATTACATTGGTATGTAGAGAGACAATCATATGCCAAAAGCACCAAAACTGGGGGTACACATTAAATTAAGCACTTTTCACTATTAAGGATTTAGTAATGGGATTGCAACAAGTTTCACTTTTAGCAACTTCTAGATAAGGGTGTTGTCATTATAAGAGCTCTTTGATAGCTTCCCCAACAGATTCAAGCAGTTCATTGGGCATCTGGTTGTGGGAAGCAGTGGAAGCAACAGAGGCTGTCTAGTCAATGATGCAGGTTGATAGTGTGTTAAATTATATGATTAATCTTTTTGTCTAATTGAATGACAAGAACTACACCACGGACCAATGTAACCTTGATTTATTCTGTTCTTGGAGATGAAGAATCTACTTGTCTGATTATACACAAATTTTACTGAGTCGATCGTGTAAAGCTGTTTGTAATAGTTGCGTATATTCTCTTTGTGAAAGTGTAAATGAAACTACATCAATCTCGTGCTTTGTTGTTCTTTTGTGAACCATTACTTATTTCTTTACTTTTTTCCTTTGCAGGAGAAATTGTTTATAAGAAGTTGAAGGGGATGTCAGATCAGTTTGTTGGAAAAGGTTTGGTGAGAACAGTAGAGAGCAAGGAGAAAATTGGTGGTGCTGATGATGTTGTTGTTGGAGATATAAGAGATGCTGACAGCATTGTTCCTGCAATCCAAGGTATTGATGCTCTTATAATTCTCACGAGTGCTGTGCCAAAAATGAAACCTGGGTTTGATATTACTAAAGGTGGAAGGCCTGAGTTCTTCTTTGAAGATGGAGCTTATCCTGAACAGGTGACTATTACATTGTCAAACTTCAGGATCTTGGTGCTTCCTTTATCTTTTGTTTTTCTCCTGACACGCATTGAATACTTTTTGCATGTTAGGTTGATTGGATTGGGCAAAAGAATCAAATAGATGCTGGTGAGAATTTCTTTCTTTACAATTTTTTTTTCCTTCCTTTATGAAATATGGTGTGCTTCATATGTTTTTCTGAACTATGTGATCTAAATGTACAGCTAAAGCTGCAGGAGTGAAGCATATTGTGTTGGTTGGGTCAATGGGAGGAACAAACCCCAACCATCCCTTGAACACCTTGGGGAATGGAAATATATTGGTTTATACTATTTCTTTTTTCTTTTCTCTTTGAATGTCTTTTTATTTATTTTTTTCTCTCTCGTTTCCTTTTGGGTTTCTTTATGACTACAGGGCTGCATATTTGATTAATTTCATCTAAATGCACTCTCCTTATTGGTTTTTTTGAAAAGTATACAATTGATTTCCTTATGGTGCATCCCTGTACTCTTAATTAATCTTGTTGAAACTCAAAGGTTGAAGTACCTCTTTGCTAATCTCTATTTATTTCCCATGTATTATTTATTTATATATTTTTGGTAGCAAGAAACTCTTTCAAAAATCATTGAAACTCTCTCTTGCTAGCACATGGCAATCTTTGTGAATACAAGATTGCCATAAAAATGTTTGGGTGTTCCAACCTATGAAGCATGGACATAATATGAGATGCATATACTACAAGTACATACATGACAATACAACAAATTTTTTAAAAGCATGATGCCTCATAAATGAGTCCAAAAATATCTGTGAAGTATCAACTACATCTTAAATTCTTTTTAAATTTCTATTTTCAAATTATGGAAATTTTAGGAAATATGGACACCGAGTGTACGAGGAGTATCGATATCCAATCCGGATATACTTCCCTTAGATAGTTATCTGTGCTTCATAGGTTTGAACCTAACAAGCTAGTATAGATCTCACACACTAGGAGCAAAAGTCCACAGCAACAACACTTGGACATTAGATATCAATTAACGGGAACTTGGAAACTTAATTTGAGTCGAACACATTTCATCTTTATAGGTCTGCTATTTTTTATTATTATTATCTCTGCCAAGAAATTTATCACATTCCAATTAATTCTATTGTGTTTTCCATATCACAGATTTGGAAAAGAAAGGCTGAACAGTACCTAGCTGATTCTGGAATCCCGTATACAATTATACGGTATGCCATTCCTGTTCACTTTTATTTCCATGAGAACTGATGTTTTCTTGTTTTAGACATAACAAACTCTTTAGGAATAGTTGACAGGTTATCTTTTGTGGTGTTTTGCATAACGTCTTAAATGTCTATTAAGTTATGCCATCTAGTATTTCATTTATGATCTCCTTTAATCCTTAAGGAATTCACATACCTACACTCAAGGACAAATAATTTGACAACCAGCAAAATGACTTTCCATGTATACTGTCAAGATTTTGAATTCTTGTATGATATTCACAAGTTATTCTCGGTTGTTTGATCAGATTCCTAAGGTCATTTTTCATCCTATTTCATTCAGTAATTACCACATATCCAATAAACCTAAGGAAATGTTTGTAATATTCATTGATCTTCTCACGCTCAAATTTTAGACTTACATTTCTCTGATTATCATTAGAATCTCCATGGTTGTATATCGATATTCTAATTGTTTCTATAGATGAATAATTCTAAGACTTTGTATAATTCTCTGCAATCCCATTTTTCATCCCATATCAATCAACAATTCCTGGTTAGCTGTCAAGAAGTGTAATGAATCTAGATGATTCTAAATTCATTAAAATTTTACAGCATTCTTTGGCCTTTTCATTTTATTAAATTTTTTTCCTGAATTATCTTGAGAGTTCCTTAAGATCAAGTTTTATATTATGATAATTCTAGATAATAAAGAATTCTGGACCTTGATATATCTCTGTGTTTTTACTTTGTTGTTGTAGTCACTCTAATCTGTAAGTAGAGAATTTGACTTGCATCATTCTGGTCAATACAGAGCTGGAGGCTTGCAAGATAAAGAAGGTGGTGTCCGGGAATTACTTGTTGGAAAGGATGATGAGCTTCTTCAGACCGACACGAAAACCATTGCCAGGGCTGATGTTGCAGAAGTCTGCATTCAGGTAACTCTCTCTCTAAAAGGTTTTACTTTAGCACACATTAATTTGCTTATCAGTTCTCTTCTCTGTTCACCTTTAAGCTGTAATAGATCACTTGTTGGTGCATTATTCTGAGTGTGTTGCACATTGTATGCTTTGTTACCGAACAGGCACTACAGTTTGAGGAGTCCAAGTTTAAGGCATTTGATCTGGCCTCAAAGCTCGAGGGAACTGGCACGCCAACGAAGGATTTCAAGGCTATCTTTTCCCAAATCACGGCTCGATTTTAATGTTCAATGGGCAGAATTATATATTTGCATCGACCTTCAAAAGTTGGTTATCTAGAACATAGTTACTAATTACCTTTGGATCATGATACTGAATTTTGATCCAGGAAAGAACACTGAGAGCAAACCAAGGATGTTAGCAGTTTGTGTATGGGTTTGTGAAAGCCCATGTGGTGTTATTTTTATGAGACTTTAGTGACACTGCCAAATTAAAGTAAAATCTAAGTTCCTTTTCCTATTAGATAATCAGTGTTTGGTGTTTTGAGGTACAGGAGCATAAAACGGAATGGTAAGTTAGGTAACGAATATGTATGTTGTTATTTACGGGAATGGCATGTGTTTATGTATATATATATATACACTAGCAAAAGGCACCTGAGATGCACGTGATGAATGTTTTGTAATTTATTTTATTATTTGGTAAATTATTTTATTAAGTAATAATTTTTAGAGTTTCTATAATTTGAAATATATAAATTAAAATGTATTTCGTGTTAGAGTTTTAATAAATATTTTATTTGAATTTTATTAGGAAATAATTTTTATATTTTATTAGGTAATAATTTTTAGAGTTTCTATAATTTATAATTTGAAATACGTGTTAGAGTTTTAATAAATATTTTATTTGAATTTTATTATGTAATAATTTTTAGAGTTTCTATAATTTGAAATATATTTTAGTAAGGCAAAAAAAGACTCAAATATTGAGAGAGTACATATTTTTTTAGAAACAACAAATAGATAAAATAGGTAATTTGAATTTTATTAGGTAATAATTTTTAGAGTTTTATAGAAACTCTTTTTTTTAGATTTCTATAATTTGAAATATATTTCGTGTTAGAGTTTTAATAAATATTTTATTTGAATTTTATTAGGTATTAATTTTTAGAGTTTCTATAATTTGAAATGTATTTCATGTTAGAGTTTTAATAAATATTTTATTTGAATTTTATTAGGTAATAATTTTTAGACTTTCTATAATTTGAAAAGGTTAGTCAAAAGGCCGAGAAAGTAGTACTGCACTCAGGGGCGAACACAAGGGTAGGCAAAGGTGGGCTTTAGCCCACCCCAAAAAAAAAAAATTCTTTTTTTTACTAAACTAATATATTAGCTTAGCTCAAAAAATAAAAAAATAAAAAATTAATAGTATTAGCCCACTCCAAAAACTCAATAAAACCTAAGTAAACTCAGCCGCCATATTAAAAATAAAGGCCCGAACCAATTCTTTAGTATTCATGTTTAATGTTAGCCCACCCCACCTAGAAATCCTGGATCCGTCCTGTAACGACTCAAAACTAATACTTTTTAAACAAAAAAAAAATTCGGCATGACCTCCCCTAAAAATAGGCCTATCACAACCTGTTTAATTGCATTTTTAACCTGTCATGGCTCAAATTCCGAATTCACGGCAACAAAAGATAATGATACAACCAACTAATCTAGACAATGCTTCAAACTAGGATTATCCATCCATTCATCAACAAGTTGCATACTATCAAATCCCTATCCAAAACATCATCAATACTTTAGTTATATTACATGACAAAGTTCCACAAAAAAATTATACATCTTTGCACTTCTAGTGTTTTACAAAATAATGGGGAATATACAAAGATATAAAAGTGGACTTCTAACGCCGTTCAAGCTTGAGGTGGGTTGTCATCCACTAGTTCCTTTCCAAAACCTGAAAAAAATATATATAGATATAGGGGTGAGTATATAGCTCAGCAGGTGACACTTAAGACACAATTCTTGTGTCCTAGTAAATCCAAATAAAGCATAGGCCAATAGGAGATTGGGGACATGCATTGAAGGGAAAAAATAATTACAAGTACAAGTCAAATTCAATCACACACAAATGCAAATGGAGTGAGATGCAATGCATGCTAAAGTCACTCCCGTTTTCATTCTCAAAACCATCACGTTCAAAGTTAATGTAACCCCCTTTGGTAACCCCGCCGCGACGAGAGGAGGATTGGCTACCGTCCCTAGGCCTTTGGTGACCCCGTGGCGCCGTCGAGGGGCCCGAATAGCTCAACCACGCTAGGGTACTCTCCCTAGTCCTCCCTAGGCTACATTAACCTCCGGCCCGTTGGTAACCCCGCAGCGACCGGGTTTGTCAAAACCAATTTTTTTCCAAAACATTCATTCCCAAATCCCCATTTTCATTTCAAGACAACCACTTCCCTTTTTCATGCAACCCAATGAGATGTAGGCTCATATCATGATCTCAATATAATGACAAATGGGAACTTAGCACAATAATAAATAAGCATGTTCTCATGGCATCATTATAGCAAGTTAGCAACCTTAAAAAAAAATGTAAACAACCATCACATAGACATACTTTTCATTCAACCATGTTATACACATTTACATAACTAGCATGTTGTCAATTAAATCATTTTAATCAAAATCAACAACAATTAAACATGCTATAACACACATAGAGGAGCATGATTCATTATAGAGCAAGATTCCATGGCTTAAGATGTCCCTACCTCACAATCCAAGCCGAAATCCCTAGAATAGGTCTTCCAAATTCGAGCTCCAAGGAAGACTCAAATCTGGAAATTGATAGTATGGATGCGTAGAGCTCGTTACAAGCTTCGTTTCGCCTCAAACAGTTCCTAAATCCGATGAAAGATGATTGAGTAATCAAACCTCAAAGTTTTTGTCTCCAAAATGAAAGAAAAAGAGAAGGAACCGAGAGGGAGAGAGAGCATACGGGAAAGAGAAAGAAAATGAGAAAGAAAAGAAGATTTCTTGGCCAAATAAGTTAGTGGTGGGCCCCACTTGAAATTATTTTCCTTTTCTCTTTATTTTTTTGTCTCTAATTACACCACAAATACACAATTGCACCATACAAATGCTACATCACCACATAAATTAAAATGTAGGAAATGTAACTGGACCCAACCACAAACCCGGATGGTAAAGTGAAAAGATGAAAATGCCCTTGCATTAACGAATTTTCTGAAAATTATAAAATGCTGAAAATTAGAATTATCACATCTACACTTGATCTTAGCCAAAAAACTGAGAAAGGTTGGCCAAAAGATCGGCCCAAAAAAATTTAGTATTACATTTGATCTTAGACAAAAGGTCAAGAAAGGTTAGTCAAAACGTCGAAAAAGGTTACCCAAAAGGCCAAGAAAAATGAATTTTATTAGGTAATTTGTAATTTGAATTAAACTCTTTAACTTAATTTTTATAAATTTTATTAAATAATTTGTAATTTGAAGTAAACTCTTTAAATAATTTTTATATAATTTTTTGTTTATAAAAACTCTTTTTTTTATATTAATAAATAAATACTTAAAGACCGAAACTCTTTGCCAAAAGACCAAGATAGGTTTGCTAAAACGCCGATCTTAAAAAATTTAATACTACATTAGATCTTAGTCAACATACATAAATGATAATTGGAGTCGGCCACTTTTATTGGAGGAGAGAGTTTAAAAGTTAAATATAACCAATGACAGAAAAAAATATGAAAAAAGAATTCACGTGGTTGATTGAATTTGTTCATAAAGTTTAAAGCCATCAACGATGATGTTAACACGCATGCAGGATTATTATTAATCAATTAGTTGAATTAAATTTTTTAAAAAAATATTCCCAATTGTGTTAGGTTGGCATTGTCATACGTGTAAAGTTGATTGTGGGAGAACCAACATCCCATTAATTCTCTCTCTCTCTCACACACACACACACACACACACACACACAGTCGTGTCAAATGGTATTTTGTCCATTGATTGACCATCCAGCTATCTTTTAAGTAAATTGCTGGTTATTGTTGTTACCAAATCGCCAGCATGGATTTATTGTTGGACCAATTGTCTCAAAAGGGAAAAACTTACATACTGTGTGTATCGACCATATAGTTTAATTTATCACTACTACTTTTCTTCTAAATCTTTCAGTCAACTTCAAAATTTTCGTTTTGGCCATTATTGTTCAGATATTATGGTGTCCAACCTTAAAGTAAAATTCAAAAATGTCTTTTTAAAGTGATGAAACTAATTAAATGAGAGCATGTGAAAAAGTATTGAGCTTTCTCTGCATCATATTTTTTATAATGAATTTTATTAGTTAATTTGTAATTTGAATTGAACTCTTTAAATAATTTTTAAGTAATTTTTTATTTATCAAAACTCTTTTTTATATTAATAAATAAATAGTGAAAGTCAAATGGCCAAGAAAAGAGTACTACACTTGATCTTAGCCAAAAAGCCGACCCAAAAAAATTTAATACTACACCTCATTTTAGCCAAAAGGCCAAGAAAGGTGTGATTATTATTTTTTTAGGTCTATAGTTTTATAAGAGGCTTACATGTAATCATTTTTACTTAAAACTAATATGGAACAAGAAAAATGAATTTTATTAGTAATTTGTAATTTGAATTAAACTCTTTAAATTAATTTTTATAAATTTTATTAGGTAATTTGTAATTTGAATTAAACTCTTTAAATCTCTTAGCCAAAAGGTCGAAAAAGATGTGATTATTATTTCTTTAGGTCTATGGTTTTATAAGAGACTTCCATGTAAATCATTTTTACTTAAAACTAATGTGGGACAAAAAAGATGAATTTTATTAGGTAATTTGTAATTTGAATTAAACTCTTTAAATAATTTTTTATAAATTTTATTAAGTAATCTGTAATTTGAATTAAACTCTTTAAATAATTTTTAGGTAATTTTTTGTTTATAAAAACTCTTTTTTTATATTATTAATAAATAAATACAGAAATTTTTTGTTTATAAAAACTCTTTTTCTATATTAATAAATAAATATTAAAAGCCAAAAGGTTGAGAAAGTAGTACTACACTTGATCTTAACCAAAGACCAAGAAAAGTTAGCCAAAAGGCCAACTCAAAAAAATTTAGTACTACACCTGATCTTAACCAAAAGGCCGAGAAAGGTATGATTATTATTTATTTAGGCCTATAATTTGATAAGATGCTTCCATGTAATCCTTTTTACTTAAAATTAATGTGGAACAAGAAAAATGAATTTTATTAGATAATTTGTAATTTGAATTAAACTCTTTAAATTAATTTTTATAAATTTTATTAGGTAATTTGTAATTTTAATTAAACTCTTTAAATAATTTTTAGGTAATTTTTTGTTTATAAAAACTCTATTTTTATATTAATACTGAAATATTAAAATTCTTTGCACATCTAATAATAGTATAGATATATATTCAGCCAAAGTTGTTTTCTACCTTCCTATGATAAAATTGGGTCGGGCCGCAATAGGTCAGCATCAATTATACATGTGATTTCAATAAACAAGCCGTGGCCAGTCAGAATGTTCAGTCTTAAATGTTCACATTTGGTTCATTGTTCTCAAAATATCTATTATGTTCTGTAAGCAAGCACTTAGGGTCTGTTTGAAAATTGTTTTTGTTTCATGTTTTCTGTTGTCACCCCACCCCCAAAAAAAAAAAAAAAAAACTCTAAATGGCTTTTTATTTTAACTAGCCAATTTTGTATCAAAATCTTAGAACACCTTCTTAACAAACAAATTTTCTAGTTTTAGCTTTCATATATCTGACAATAAACTTTATATTACCAAACATACTTTCAATCAATGAGTATATTATCAAACATACTTTCGACAACACACACTCCGCAGCAAAAGCAAGGAAACGATTTCCAAAGATGCGACTACAGATACAAAATTGAGTCAAGTTGGGTCAAAAATTTCATACTAATAACAATTTTGGGCCACAGGCCATAGATTATGAGATGACCACCAAGTATTGGAACTTGCTAAAACATGTCTCTTGGCCTATGAGTACAAGACATCTCAGAAAAGTAGTTGAAAAAAGAAAAAAAAAAAAAAAAAAAAAAAGAAAAAAAAAAAGGATGTAGTAGTTTGCACATGGATTGAACTCCTTTTTGTTTGGGCCTGTCATGAAATTGGACTCCTATGCTTACGCTTGTTTTTTGTTTCAACTCACCGCCTTTTTCCCTGCCCAATTAGCCTTTTTGTGTTTTGTTTGGGCCTGGGGTATGCCCCTTGTTGTTTTATTTTTATATATTAGTCACTTACTTACCCAAAAAAAAAAAAAAAAAAAGATACTAGCCTTTTATTTTTATTATTTTTTTGGTCACGGGAACAAGAACATATGGAAATGTCGTAATCATTCCACCTAAAGAGCTAAGAATCCAACCTTGTCAAGTGGGGGCTAGTGAAGCGTTAAGTTAAAATTGTTGTAACTTTTGGGTTGGGCATATGCTCAACCAATGTGCATAAAATAATGGGCATTATTGGCACATGTAATTTTCATGCTGAGGAGATCAATGTTGGATTTAGTGGATTTATTAGCAATTAATTATTAACATTAAATCAAACCTTCATGTGGTTGTTCATATAGCCACAAATTAATCATATCTTTGTTAAGTGGTCCTCACAAGACACAAATTGTTAGACTAATAATGTTTTCCTTTGGTCAATGCATATGTTCGACCAATAACCGTGACATTTTTTTTTACTAATATGTAGTAATCAACAATTGGACCTTTCTAATGTCTTTGTCATCAATTACTAATTTACTAGTCTATTTTGCTTCACTTCTCGGAACAAAGACCATTGCATATGGGGTGTGCATCAACATGGAGCCGACCTAAAGCAAAGGGAAATATAATCTTTAAAAGAACAAAATTGTAATTAGTCGGGTGAATTATTAGGTCATTTTGCACACCCGCTCATATATATTCAATTTCTTTTTTATCCGAATTTAATGTCAGACAAGATACCTCTAAAGAAGTTGAAATAAATGTAATATAACGTATAATATCTAATAATTTAGCATGTAATTGAAGTGAAAAGGTAAATAATACTTCCTTCCATACCTAAACAATGAACATTAGGTTATTGAAGTGATGTTATCCCCATTTTTTTTTTTTTTTTTTTTAAAAAAAAGAGTGATGTAATCCTTTTTTCCATAATTTTTTTTTTTTTGCTGTGTGATTAAATTTGCAATGATCCTGTTTGTAATATTTGTTTCAATAACAGCATAGTATTATCTTGATTTTATTTATGCTTTGTCAAAGACTGTCTTTATCAACTGTCAATTCCATTGTCGGTCTAATTTCTATACTAAAAATTCTCTTATTTTCAAAATGAACACATTGATACTTGGAAAAAATCAATGGAATAAACCTCACTAACATAATGTGGTTGATCCATTGCACTTGGTCCCATTCAGAGAGCATCTTTAGCCAGGTCCTTATCACTGCTTTTCTGCGCCTAAAATTCCATTTTATCGTATTGCGATAGCATTCCAATCTCAATGAATTGAAATGACCAGTGTCCAGTGATGGATGTGTTGTCCTCCTCCAAGGACCACCACTCACAACAACTGTGGTTGCACGAAATTAATTTCTACAAATGAATAAAAAAATATATGTGAAAATATAAAACCATATATATATGTGTGTGTGTGCATATATATACTTTAGCGAGGACTATTTTCTTGAAATGGCATGCTGCATGTGATTCACCACAAAATATCTTGTATTATGGTTAATATATGAAAAGGTCCCCACACAGTGGATGTTGGAAAATGATATTAATGGAGGCTTCACATGGAAGAAGCTAGACAGAGGACCCCTCTTGCAGCAGGTTCAGATGTTGACACAGAAACCTCAGTTGCGCCAAAGCAACCAGCATTCCAAATATAAACATGGTTATGGTGCAACTGCAACGCTATTGTTCTTAGATCTCCCATATTGAAACCCTCTATTGTATTGTAATACATTGCTGTAATATTCATACATTTATGATGATACAAATTTATATGTATATGGACGACATGAAATCCAAATTAACATACGTCCCTTTCTTTATGACCAGTCCTGAGAAACTTGACACACACACAGCGACTTTAAATCTGAAATCATTTTTTGTGCACTTTAGGAGAATTTCCAAGTCATTTTCTAGTTTGACACATTGTTTGTAGAAAGTTCAAATATTCTAAAACGTGTTTGGCCACACGGTTTGCTTCCTTGAAAATCCTATGCTTATCCCAATTGTATCAATCCTGAGCTGTGCGATACCAGATGATTGAGATTGAATAGAGATTTCAAGAAAAGAGAGAAAGCTCACTTACAGGACAAGAACAGAAGGCCATTTCATATCTGATCAAGCAGAAATCCAAGTTTCTCATGAAGTAATTAATGGCTTCTAATCCAACAGTCAAATTTCCATTTTACCTCTCAGACATCAGATTTTTATAACTGCTTACAATCCTATCAGTCTCTTTCATAATTTTGTATTAAATTCCCTTCACAGTGAATAATACCAATTTTTTATTTGTGTTAATCACAACCCAGAAAATCACCCATTATGTCTCTAACATGCATAAAGAAATCAAAATTAAAGTTGACATGCACATAGGATGAGAAAGAGAGCAACAATTGACAGCAACAATTGACAACAAATAGTAAGTGTTGCATTTATGTAGACAGTTTTGCTCCCATACATGTTAGCTCTTTTACCATAATCACATTGAAGTCGCAGCATTTTTCCTAAAATATCTATGACACTATTGACTATTCCGTAGTAAGGAATGGATTACAAGATGATTCAATTCTGCAAGTCTAAATTATCTACCAAATGCCCAATGCTCTTCTCGTACCTTTGATCCATGAACAGCTTAATTATCGAAATCAGCAACTACTTCATCTTTTGGGGTAGCAAATCCGTCTTTTGCAAGTAGAAGTGGTACAGCAACAATGAGAAGGAACCTTGGTTGAGGCCTGAAGAACAGCATTTACCTTTGCATACTTTTGAGAGCTAATAAGCATGCAATTCAAGTACACCCTAAGCAGGTTTCCAACAAGAAAGGGCAAATATAATTCGCCCTTTCCATCCCTGCAACAGCCACTGACCGTCTTCATCAATCACGAAATCTTTATGGTAGCTTGAGCGCACCCTATTTGTTGCCTTTTTCTTGATCTCCTGGTCGAAAGGGAGTTGCACGAAGCCTGCCCTCATAACACGGACTTGCCACTGCTTGTATGTCTCCGGCCGCTCAACTCTCTCCCAGCCCTCACAAGCTATAACATTCAGAGCTTCCCTCCCGAAGATCTCCCTCTCAATTAGCATCCTCTCAGCGTGTTCACGGGGTACTGTATTCTCGAGCATATCAAACAGCGATGAGAAGTGGAACAGTGCCTCCCGGAAACGGGTAACAAAGAAGGGGGCATTATAGGCTCCATTAATGATCCCATGGATGAAGATTTCTGGATTAATCTTCCTTACCAGATTCATAACTATATTCCTTGCACCATCAACCACCACAGTCTCATCAAGCAAGTTCTTAGAGCGATACAAACAGTTGACAACGAGAAATTCATCCTTGTCAATCTTAAGATCCTCAACTTTGATGGTTTCCCATTTCTTTGCTATGGCGGTGTACTCAAATGGCACATTGAAACTCTGAGCATAATCCGCTAAGCGTCGCCCTGTCTCTTCAACTCGCTCTGCAGGCCGGAAACCAGGTTGGGGAAATTCTACCCCAGTAATCCGAAGCTTCGGTGGCCCACCCTCTCGTGTTGCGATACGCTGAATAAAAGTAGGCCACTGAAAACCATAGAGTATACCAAAATCTATGATGTGGACTCTCATTGCATTCTCAGCTTTATTCATAATTGTCATGTTAGAGACAAAATTCGAAATCTTCCTGAATGGGCATGATGCAATATATAGATGGTATGCTTTCAAGAAATCAGCAGCAGGAGTTCTCTTACTGATCAGGGCTTTATAGATCTGGCTACCAGTGCCAGCCAAGCGTGCCTCGAGGCCATCAGCAAAGCAATGAGCTAATCTCTGACTCCCATCCCCAAAAGGAGAAGAATGTTGCCTTATCTGTTTCAGCAATTCATTCGCATTCCTGCAATCGTCAGCTGCAACAGCCTGTGCGCAATGAATCAAGAGAGTTCTCAGATCTATCACTTCCTTTTTACCATTTCGTTTCTTACCACGGCCCTTTACACCATTGGATCCTTTCGATTGCCCATTCTGTTGCATATTCTTGCTTGCACCATTCTGCAAGGTTTCACGAAGAGTTGACAAGGGGTTCTTGCCTTTCCCCATGTTACAGAGCAATACAACATCAAACATCTCTGACCGCACGGTCGACTCAGGATAAACAGCTGCCTGCTTAGTAATCCTCTCTTCTTCTGCATCTACATCCTCCCTATGAGGATTCTTCCTTACCCTTGACCCAGTTGGTGAGTACTCTCCCTCTTCCTTTTTCTCCACCTTAAGCATCATTTCACCAGTTTCTCCCCTTAGTTCTCGAGGTACCAACCTGTTGGCCTCCAAATTAACTAACAACCGATTACCACTTGGAAGGAACTTACTCGCTTCTTCGACCCCCTTCCTAAACTGCCAAATAGATTGGCTTCCGTTATATAAATCAGGGACCTGAAGAGGGCTTATTGGAGAGTCCAAAAACCCATCTATAAAATTGTTTATGCTATTTGACGAACCAACTGACGACGGAGAAGGTGAAAAAAGAACTGATGACCGAGAAGCATTATAAAGAGGAATATTTGGTAGTTGAGAGGTGCTACAATCAGTGGGATTGTTGTACCATCTTGGATCAACTAAGTAACCATTACTATTATAACTACAACTAAAACCATTGCTTTGATTTCCAAAATAATAATCTGGGCTTTCACTATTTTGGTCAACATAAGTTGGGTTTTGTTCTGGTGAAGGTGGGTACTTCTTGCCAAGGACCTCATAAAATGGTCTCTCTGCAGCTTGAAGATCCAAAGACTCTTGAACCATACATGTCTTGTCTTCCATGTCTTCCTCCATAAGCATCTGACTTATATAGCTCAAAACTGCATCTGAGAAATCACAGTCCTCGTGAGGATCTTCCTCAGTAGTCAAAGTTGAACTCAGGACTGAATTACTCACTGATGGATCATTCGGAAGTAATTGAAACCCTCCAAAGGTTGGGACTGAATTACTCGATGAGGGATCATTTGGAAGAAATTGAAACCCTCCAAAGGTAGGATCCTGAAAGGTGTTCACAAATCTTGGTCCACCAACTAGGTTCCGATCTGATAAACCCGGTACATATTGATTTCCCAACTGGATTCCATTCATGGAACCCGAGAATCCATGAAGCCTTGGATCCATTATCATCTATGTCACAAAAATTATGTTGAAGTTCAATATTAACAGAAGCCCAACTTTAAACTCATCTATAATTGCCTCTTCCTCTCTCTCTCTCTCCCTTTTTTCTAGAAGTAAAATTCTATTTCTTAGATAATTTTGTTTTTAAAATATAAATTTTCAAGTCCTGAATCCAAATAGAAGCTTTTGTTTTCAAGAAACACACTTTACATATCCTAAATCCATTAAAATACCTAAAAACAGCTCCAGAATTGAATCAACAAGATTGAAATTTTCTGGGTTTATCAAGCTTTAATCAGAAGTATAATTTAAACATGTAGAAACAGATAAAGATACTGTAAACAACATATATACACCTACTACTTCCAGCATTATGAACCATAAAACAACATATGATTAAGTTCAAAAACCTAGAAAATGTTCATTAACTGAAATTGGACTTTGCTTATAGAGAACAGCATACGAGAAAGAAAATGAAAACGCGTACCTCACAGAAAAACTTAGGGGAGAGAGAGAGTGTGTGAAGTGGAAATAAGGTGCTCCAGTCTTCTTAAAAACCTGCATTTAACAAACCGAGTCAATCACAGCCGTTAATTCAGCGACGTTAAAATGTCACCGGCTATAGCCGGTGGGCCTTCTTCGTCGGGCTATAAATTAAAACGCAGTGGATTCATGCTGTGGCCTATCAGAGATCGCCACGTGGCACACGAAAGGGAAATTTTGGGTAGGAAGGAACCACTTTTTCCATTTCCGTCTCTAAGCCGGAAGAGCGCGACCACGTTTCAGAGTCGAATTACCGAAAATGCCCTAGTGCTGCATACGTGTCAATTGAAGAAGGTGTGAATGTGGACTAGTGCATGTGTCAACTGTGTGAGAAGCTGCAGCATATTTTTGGGAGGATAAGGGGACAGACAGGTGTGGACGAGGTTTTGATTTAGGCACTCTCAGTCTATATCGCCTCACCGGTCATAAGTTTGGTCCTAACTAGTGAGTAGCCCCACCACTCAAAGTGGGTGTCAATCATAGGTTGACCGGAGGTCTACACGTGTTAAAGACTTCCCAGAGGTCGGTGCTTTATAGTTCATATTTTTTTTTATTGCGTTTCCAGTTTGGCCGTCAAGAAAATTATAGGATTGCCTAGAAAAAACATAATACATGAAATTAACGACTAATCTTCAATTTTTGCGCGACTTCTAGACAATGTCGGATAACGACTATTGGCTATAAGATAAACCATTCCTGAACCTGGACCTCGACATTTAAATGGTATCTAAAAAGAGAAGACACTAGACAAACTTTTTTTTTTTGTTTTATTTATTTACTAGAGACAAACTTCTCTATTAGTGTTTCTTTTAGTTATAATATAGACTCTCTCTCTTTTCAAAGTATTTATCTCAATAATTTACGCATCATTTATAAGTAATAACAATCGTACACTTTTATCATTTTTCGAAACTAAATTAAGAATTCGGGTAGTCTTTTTTCTACTTCGAAAAGGTTCATTTTTAAAGTAAAAATAAATAAAAAAATCAAATAATACAGATTGAGGTGTATAAAGTATAATATGAAGTGAATGCTAATAGACAGTTGTGCATGTGTTGCAATGGAGACTCTTCATTTTGAATGATGGGGATCTCACTTCATCAAATGAATGATGGGGATCTCACTTCGTCACATGTATCTGGCAAAAGCACGAGCATCCTTAATACAGGCTACAAAACGTGAACTAAATTGTGCTTTACAATGTTGTTGAATCCACCACTTTTTGTTTTGAAAAGTGAGAAAAATATCATAAGAGCACATGTATTGGTGACAATTCTGACAATTGTCTAGCCCCTCCCATTCAAAACACAACCTCAATGAGCTGGGACAATCACACTTTTTATAGTGGGAACTTTTTATAATCATATAATTTATCCAAACATTACCTGAGAAATAAAAAATTATGTATCCAGGACCTTCCATATGTTCCCAACCTTCTAGTATGTACTTTCTGTAATTAAAAGATCCATCCAATGAACGCATGGAAAGAACAATATATTATGAGTGCACATATCGACATAGAAAAAGTGTAGCCTACTCATTTTTATTATAAAGCCCCAGAAACAATGTCACCACAGCCCCATATTCTGTTTTTCAAATCATAAAATACTTTGATTTCAGAAAATGGGATTGGCAACTTTTCCATTTAGACACCTAGTAATATATATCATGCGCACTTGTAATCTGGACCTATGAAAGAATGACTGTAAAAGGATACTAAGAATGCCAGCAAAAGAATGTCCAGACTAAACCTAATTTCTTGGTAATAGGTGACATAACCATTGTACATATGTGATACCACTTGGTGTTGCACAGATGCTTCTTCGTCGGAGATGGTTCGAAAAAGTAACAATATGGATATTCTCCGTCTGCATTGTCTTGATCCAATGACTGAAGGGATGTGAGGACAAACTAGGTTACTACTCTAAATTTCCAAGTTCCCACATAAACGTGTACAAGAAATTTACAGGCCTCACTCGGCCTTGAGAAAAATTAGGGAATCAAATGTGTAGATAAAACAAAATAATGCACATCAACTTCTAAATGTTTTGTTCAACATCATGTTAACAAGAATAACAATAAGACCAAATAATTAGAAAATTGAAAAGATATGGAAAATAGTGAGACAAAAACATAACCTATATATAATATATCATTCTGCAGCTAAATTTTCGTACTGCCAGGGGTTGAACTTTGTTGATCTGACGTCAACCTCTTCGATGCTGTCTGATTTATCTATGGAGGCACGATACTCGTCATACTTGCCATTGTAGTGGTACACTTCTAAGTCACCCCAAGGAGTAGGAGAAACTTCAGTAGATGGATCAAACCATTTTGGAGTAAATTGATGGCCCTTAGCCTCTCGGATTTTCTTTTCAGCTCTCTGTCTCTCCTCCAAACTACACAAAAGAAAAGAAAAAAGGCATCAAAATTATTATTAAAATTATAATCAATTAGATTGATGCAAGTAATACAGGAAACTTGCATATAAAATTGAGGCCTAATGACTGAAAGAACCTTGTTTCATAGATAATTTCACCAAATTTTTACATCTCCTGTGTTGTAATATGATTTTTTCTGTAAGGATATAATTTCAATAATGAAAAAGAGCCTTGATGAAACTTGAACCAATATCTCTGTCTCAACTAACAGACATCATGATCAATTATAATAGACACACATTAAAATGGCCTGCCAGAGAACAGCCAGCCAGCCACATAAACCTCAGCCATCCACATGTGAAGGCCATATGTCAAATATAAGCTACAAATTTTGCTGTCCATATGGTGTAACTGGTAGATGACACATATTGGCTGATAGAATCTTTCCAGACCTCATTCTAATTTAAAGCCACTGTTTCATTAATACTCATAGTATATTGTATTCCATGAGAGAGAGAGAGAGAGAGAGAGAGAGAGAGAGAGAGAGAGAGAGAGACCTGCTCTTTTCTGAACCAGCTTTAGATAGGTCGCCTTTCTCTAGTGCATCTCTATCTGGACGCAAGCGAGAATCAGATGCCAATAACTTCTTTGGTGCAGTGTCAAAGCTGTTTATCTTATGTGCAAAATGAGTGTATTGAAATCTGTCATTTTCTGGAACATCAGCAACTTTCCAAACCTGCAGAGATGCAAATGGAATAGATTTTTTTACCAGCTCAATAAAAAGAAAATTTAAGTACAACCGCCTAATAAAAGAAAAGCTATATTAAAATTTAAAGCCATTTCAGGGGTCTTCTTGTACAGTGGCCAGTATTGTGTTATTTGGCCTGCTTACGCTGACTTTAGTTACTATCGAACATGAATTATGTCACCACTCATCCTGAGAACTTCAACTTAATCATCAGTTTGCAGCATTTTTTATATCAGAACACGCACAGTTAGCCATTATAATATGAAAATACCATAAAAAAAACTTCAGAAGTTGCAAGTTTCAACATAACACCAAATTCAGTGACATGAATACATGATTGCCACACCAGGCTCAGCTAAACTAATGATTCAATATCTGGTGGCAGCCTTTCCAGGTACCCAACAAATTTGAGTCTAATAAATCAATGTATGCACTATGCAGATTCTCCCTAACAAATTTTCCCTCTTGATACTTGGCAGGAATGAATACTATTGACAACTTATAAACACATCTCAATCTCTTTAAGGAATGTGTTACCCATACAACTACTATAATGTTCTGTTTCTCCCCTAATTTGTTTTCCTCAGGCTTTAGTTAAAGGTTTATAAACCACATTAACCCTCAAGTTGACATCAAATGAAGCCACATGATACTTCTGACCTAATTAAAAGAGTTTGACACCACATTGCAACCTAGAAAGTGTTGTATATCACATTCAAAATTTCATGTTTCATCCAAAACGGTACCCAACCAATTACATGCAGTTAAGGACAACATAACTAACAAGTTCTCAATTTCAGAACACCAAATAAGTAAAGTTAAATAAACAGTACAAAATATATTAGGAACTCTTTTAGCCATTACTTTATTCAAATCATGAGAAACTATAACTTAATAACATATATGCGAGATAACTGACAGTAAACATGAATTGGATAGAGAACATATCTCTATTCACCACATAAGAAAGCAATATGGAAGTAAAAACTAATGCGGACCGGCAAATAAACAATAGTAGTTGTTCCCACATAAAAGCAAATACCCCACCTCCGCATTTATAAAAGCCAAGAGGGGCATGCTAGCAACTACCACTACCTAGCGAATGATGTGGTTATAGCCAACCTTGAATATTTACAAGTTGCAGTTCATATATACTGATTGATCTCCAATATGTTGATATAAAAAGAGGAAGAAATTCATATGCTTTCATCATACACAAACTTATCATACCAACATGACTAGTAAAAGGTAAAGTAATAACTAAAGACTATAGGAGAGAATTTAATTATGAAATTGACTGTACAGAAGTTCGAAATTTCCCCGTTCTGAAAAAAAAAGGATGCAAATTCAAACAGAGCCTATCTATGCCATGTTCACAGCACTGAAAAGAAAAAAGATGCACATGATAGCAAAATACGACAGTAAGACATCCCTTCAAAGGAAAGGGGTGTACTACAAGTCAAACATAATGGATATCCACATCAGTCGCAAACAGCAAGGAAAAATAATGAAACTAACCTCTTTCAGTTCAGTGCCAGGAAGAGGTTCCCCTTCCAAGTCACAAAGTTGATAACTCATTGACTCGTTCCATTTCCCAGTCATCAATATTTTGGGTTCCTCGGCAGCATTATATACATATCCATCCACTTCATAGCGACCAGCACTGAAACAAACAAAAAAAACATATACATAGGCATGGAACAAAGAGAAAGCAAATTCCAGATGATATTCAAAAAGGAAGTAAGATATGAAAAAGAGGTTTTTGAGGCTCCAAGTCCAACCCCCCAACATCATATAGACAACTGTATGAACCAGTCATACTTAAAAGAAAAGTTCTATGACATTCAATCAACAGTTTGTTGCTCAAGTTCCACAAAAAACCACCGACAATATTGATGCAAATGTAAAAGGTGAGGGAAAGGTAAAGGATTAGTGCTTCAATGATATGGAGACGTGGGATCAGCATTGGGTAATAATCTTAAGAGTGAAAAGAGGTTAAAAGACCAATTCAACCATCATCCATGCAAGGGTAACAGCTCTGCTGAAACACCCTACAACATAATTTCAATTTCTTTATGGCATCACAATCTGACAATTATAATCAGCAGCACTCGAACATTACCCATCTCCATATTTTGTGCATCTTATATTGCATCAGCAATGCCCCCTTTTAATTTTATATAGGGATAATTTCACTTACCTCCCCTGAGGTTAGGCGTAATTGCTGGCGGTACCCCTTACGTTGCAAAAATTACACCGTCCTCCCTCAAGGTTTGCTCCGTCATAACACTTAACCCCCTCCGGTAAAAGTCAACGCCGGTCAATGATATTTTTTGATGATGTCAGCTATTTTTAACCCCGTAATACCACCTTTGTCCTTACTTAAAATCTGCTTTATTGATTTTTCACTCTTGGTTTCACTTTCTCTTCAATTCACCTTTTTGCTTTGTTGATTTTTGCAGTTACAGAGAGTTGAGAGACAGCGGCTGAAGCATGCGAACGGCGAACCCAAACTGAAAGATATGGGTTTTGATTTTTTTGAACAATCTGAAATGATATGCCAATCATTCAGAACACAACTTAGCTTCAATAATTATCTTCCTGACTTGGGCTTTTCTGCTGCTTTTGCAATCTCATCAAAATATATACTTAAAATCTCACCCAGGTATTCATCTGCCTTCTCAATTCTTAATTTGTAGCTTCGCTTTTAATTATTTTTTCCTACCTTTCTTAGGTTGTTTTTCATTTACCCACAAATTCGCCCAAGATTCTTCAGAATCACAGATCTTGATTAGTTGATTTACAAAAATAAAAATAAAAACAAAACCCGTACATACAAGTTAGCAGTTGCAGAGAGAGAGGGGTGCAAGCCTGACAGTTGAGAGACAATGGCTGAAGCATGCGAACGGCGAACCTGAACTGGAACACCAGCCGATGGAAACTGAATTTTGCAGTTGCAGAGAGTTGAGAGACAGCGGCTGAAGCATGCGAACAGCGAACCCGATGACAATTTCTTCTCCCTCCGCCTTCAGATGATGATTTCTTCTCCTCCGCCTCTTCCTCCTCCTCCGATGACGTTCCTGCCGACAAGCCTTCGTCACCTTCGCCGCCACCTGCTCTTGATCAAACTCAGATCCTATATTATGGCCTTCGGCAATCTAACCTTAAATTGGGTATCGCAGCCTTTGATTGGTCCTTCAAGATGTGTAGTATCTCAGTAAATTGGGTATCGCAGCCTTTGTTTTGTTTTTTTTTTTTTTAACCCAGTGTTTCACAGTCTTTATGTGATTAATAAAATATTCTTTATGTGATATATATTAATAAAATATTAGAGGGTGTTTTAGTCATTTAACATGGTCAAAGGCCGGAATAAAATGCCGATCAGTTTGGAGGGAGGTCAGTGTAATTTTTGAAACGTAAGGGGTACTGCCCGTAATTACCCCTAACCTCAGGGGAGGTAAGTGAAATTATCCCATTTTATATAGGCAATAAATATTACAGATAAGTTATCCAACATTTCTTGCCACAATCATCTCCCCGGGAAAACAAAAGAAGTAATTAAACATAAATATATTTTTTTATAAGTCATTAAATACAAACAAAAGTTAAAAACTAACAAAAGCACACATAATGCCTCATACGGGCATACTTACAGCTGCATATGGGCACTCGTCAAGGTGGGGGCAATTAGGAAGTTTAACCACATGCATATATACACACATACAGAGGGGAAAAAATAAAGAAAAGATTGATAAATTAATAAAAGTGTTCTTTTGTAGATTTCCCACTTCACATCAATGACCAAAATGACAAAAATATGTCCATGAGAAGTCGCAAGCATGTAATTGATAAATATATCAGCAGATCCACAAGACTACTAAAAGGAATATGAATCTCAAAGGTCATACCCGAACCAGCCGCAAGGTTGAAAATACAGCACAACTTTGTCCCCTGTTGTCAAGTTTGTCAAGATCATCTCCCCTGGTGAATCAACCCAAGTTCGTCCAAATATTAGATTGTTTACTTTTGTGGGAGGGGGCACCAAATCAAGGACTACACCATCTCTTTTCAAGGTTACTCGCGACCTACGCACGAATTCATATAAAAGTGAGCAGCATATAAGTTGTCAAAAAATTTATTTATATATATATATATATATATATATATATATATATATATATATAATTAAATAAAATAAAGGAAGAATAAAATAAAAAGAAAGAAAGAAAGAAAGAAAACAAAACAAAACAAAAGAAGAAACCGTTATGCATGAACTACGACACCAAGTAGAACAAGCAATGGAACTATGGAAGGAGCTGATGCTTGAATAGTTATCAACTTAGGAACCATGTTGTGAGTCGATAACTCATCTTTTAGAATCGCAAAGTATATCATGTCATGAACCGTAAGAAAGATTGACAATATTGAAGGGAGATAGAAAAAGGCAGGTATATATAGTCTTAACAACCATCTACAAAACAAAGTTGAAGAGAGAATTGGATTTTAGGGTTTCAAGCCTAAAAGGAAATTGTTGTTCACGATCGATAGAGACTAAATGCCAATCCATCAACATGCAACCAGCAGCCTTCAATTGATCAGTCGATCAATCAAAGTGCTTTGTGCACTACACTTGGATAATTTTCACATTTAGCAACTTCCCAAAAACACTTTTATGCAATTCAATTAAGTATTTCCAAAATCAAAATATGTAGGGTGGTAATATTGGCGCTCCAAAATAGTACTCTAGCACTCCATTACTATTGTCATTAAAATAAAATACCAAAAAGGCCCTTGTTGTGTTTTAAGGGGTTTCTTTCTCTCTTGTTTCCATTCTTATCTCACTTCTCTCTCTTCCTCTCTCCTGTTCCCATCTGCAACTTTTTTTCTCTCCCGTAATTCTTAATTCTTTTAACTCTCAATCTTTTCAAAATTTAAGGAGCTCGTTAAAAATTTGAATGCAAAATCAGCTCTACTGTTTTTTATATCATTTGCTAATACTTTATCAATTGGCATTTACATATGATGACAAATATGAAGCCAATCACATAACAATAAAAGGCTCAAGGGTCTTATCAAATTGGTAATTTGGTATTGGCTCTAGAATTGGCAAAATGAAAGGGAACAAAAAAAAAAAAAAAACAACAACAACAACAATAACTTCATGACTAGAATATTTGGTCAATGGTTGTATTGACATGGACAATGTCTTCAGTTTGGGTTCACAGTTTGGTATAGTTATGTTGTAATCCTTTCTTGTTTATCAGCGATTAGAGAAAGCAAGGAGCCATAAAAGAAAGGAAACGTTAGGGTTTTGTGAAAGAGAGACAAGGCAAGGAGCCATGAAAGAAAGGAAGTGTTAAGGTTTGGAGAGAGAGAAAAGGAAAGAAAATAATGACTTTAAGTAAAAAAAAGGAGACAAGGGGTAAGAGAGCGTAGTCTAAGTAAGTTTGATTGGGGCCTAGGGGCTTGTTTTGCCATTTCAATTTAATAAAAGAATGAATGGTGCGCCATAGTATGTTTTTGGAAAGCCAATATCACCACCCAATAAGTAATCATGAAACCACAATATATAAATACATGAACCCTAATTTGGTGAGAGCATATGGTGTACCCTTCAAAGATTATGATTTTAGCTTCTGTTGAAGCTTGAATTCCAATTTTGACCTTGGCCAAGAGGTAACTAACTTGGTACCAACTAACTTTTAAAAATCTAACTAAGCTAGCAATAAAAAGAAAACACATCTAGTTTTGATCCACGAAATATGCCAATATAAATCTTATTGACCAAACAATTTTTTTTTTAGAGAGAGAGATTCCAACAGCTTATAGAAATTGTAGATACAAAGAACAACTAGCACAGCTATTGGGACTGAGAAATCAGGATACTATTTTACCTTCCAAGGGGATAGATATCAAGTGAGTTTCCCAAAAATTTCGTCTTCACCTTTGAAGTTATATCATAAATGAAATGGTCATTTTCAGCATGTCCAGCACTCATTGGAGGGTGATGACTTACCTGAAAATAAAATGATTTGAGAAGGAAGCAAAATTAGGCAGCATAACAACATGCAAAACAAAAAAATCAAGATGTCTATTGCAATAGCCTTTAAAACTAATTTCCATTTTCTACTAGTCCTAATTGCATGGAAAGAAGAAGAATTGCTTCCTGTGTTAAGTCAAAAGCATAATGAACAAATGCATCATTCAAACATAGATAAAGATATCCAATGCCAAGCATGACTCTTCAAAGATTACCTGTTCTGAGATAAATGTAATGCCACCATGATTGACCATTTCAAAAGTTTCACCAAGAATTGGATTAAATGGCTTCCAGGTTCGTTGTATGGCGTAATAGATGGATATAAACCAGGTTGCTGTAATCAGAAGGTGGAAACAGTAAGTTCCATACCAGAAAACACATGATGAGAGAGAAACAGAGAGAGGCAAAAGTATTCTTACAAGCATATACCAATCGCAAGTGGGGATCCTCACATTCATCTGCTAAATCTAAAAGGTAGGAATATTCCATCAACTGTGACAAATCTTGTACAATTAGTATACTCCATGCGAGTATCAAATATAACAGACATTGTGATACAAAAAACACAAACCTCTGCCATTTTCTGAAGCATTGTCATTGGCTCAAAAATGAGAACTGGGAGTGTCACCATTGATGTAACATCAGAGCCTATATACTTGTGCATCATCTTCCAATAACTGTCCCGATCCTGCAAGCCCCAAAAAAAAAAAAAAAAAGAAAAAGAAAAAAAGGTTGAGTAAATGAGCAGGTGACTAGCAACAAGTGATGAAGAGGAAAGATATAATCTTCAAGAAAAACTATAGAAAATTTAGTCTTTTGAGTTTGACACAAATAAGTGTATTTATTCCATCACACAAGTAAAAGCAACTTTTCTTTTTTTGTTCAAAGGGTGAGACAACAGCAACAACAACCAACCCTCTTCCCAATTACTTGGGGTGTTCAAAGGGTGAGAGAAAAGGGGGGGAAAAAAAAAGATTGCTTACCTATTACCAGATATACACAAACAGAGGAGAGAGAGAGGTATTAGTAAATAGTAATCAATATTTATGAAGTACACTGTTAGTACATGTAATCAAAACACAACACAACAAGATAATCATCAGCTTGAGCCATTCATAATTTTTCCTTCTCACGTCGAATTTATAGATAGGAACCCAAATAAACACATGCATAATGTATTGGCTGATCAAATAATGGTTTTGGCCTACACCTCTCCGAAAACTTCAACTTTCTTGTCTACGAAGAAACCCACTAAATTGTACCATAACCCAATATATGAATGAACAATGAGAGATGGCCATTAGCCAATGTTGGTCCCGTCAATAGAGTGCTGGGAGGGGTGTACAAGTTATAAACCTAACCCTTGACATTATTTGCATTAAGTGTCCGCTCTCATACTCAAATCATTTTTCTCATGCTTATTAGTGTAAGCTTTTAAAGTGTGAGAATGTGAAAAAATTGTATCACCAAAAGGATACGATAAGACTAAAGGAAAAAAATAAAAATACTGAACCTCCTGCTTCCATCTTCCTTTTTGTGCTTCCTCTTCGGCATCTTCAGTCCCGCCTTCCGGATTTATAACTTCCAGGCCTTCATAACTCAGCATACTAGAGGGAAAAGACACACAAATTAACAAAAACCAAATTCTTCAGAACATGAACAATATTATGAATATAGCACTGCATTGAGAAAACATGACTATAAAATCTCTGTCTCAGTCAGCAAAAGAAAAGACCGGAAACTTGATATACAAGTAGCTAAAAATGGGGGCATAACACCAAAAAGTAACTGCAGATAAAAACCACAAACTATGAGAAAATAAACAAAGCAGAATGTGGATATAAATGAAAGAAAATTACTCAGCACTGTATGACACTTTAGGGAATCCACCTATTACCCAATATCAGAGACAAACAGCATATCAAGAAACCATAAGCAATTACCATCAAGTATTTAGCTCAAGTGGTATCTCCTCCTCCAACATGGGAGGTTGAAGGTTCAATTCCCCACCAAGTAAATAGTGGGTGGGGGATGTGTGTGAAATTGGGAAGTGAAAATGTGTGAGTTGTGTAATTGCGTAACAAACAAAAAATAATAAAAGAAAACAGAGAGAGAATAAGCAATTAAGCACAAGCTATTCAAGACGTTTTTCTATGAAAAAATCACAACTAAGATATACCCTAAAGAGATCTCCTCTAGCATTCTCGGAATGGAAGCCATTATTTTATAGATTCTATTAAGTAGTGAAAACAATATTGAACTTTTCAAACTCTTCGAGCTTCATTCTTCGGAAGCCTCTTTTATCCTATTAGCGAAACAATAAACATAATATTGGAAATTATGCACAAAATGGAACCCATCATCATACAACACTGAAAATTTACACAATAAAATAAAATAATAATAGCAAAAACACATCCACAGGCAATAACACCAAGTAAATATCTGCCTAAAGTCCCAATTAGGGTTGCACAAATTTCAAGTCCCATAAATTAAAAGAGAGATGTACGGCGAAGATAGAAAAAGCTCAAATACCAAAATTTGTTGTATACCTGTTGACTGATTTGTGCATTGCGCTGCCAAAAGTGGACAAGCTTGAAGCGATCGATGCAAAAAAACCACCGCTTTGCTTCTGATCCTTGGCAGCCATCTCGGAAACCCTAATTCGAATCCTGACAAGTGGCCTCTTGAAGTACAGTAAAAGATCGAACAATAGTTCACTAGGGCTCAAACTGGATCGAGAAGTGGCACTCGAGGTACAATTAAAGATCGAACGATAGTTCACCAGAGCTCAAACCTAAGATCTCAATCGAGAGAGAGAGAGAGAGAGAGAGAGATTGGAAGTGGTGAGAATTAAATAATAAAGAACAGCCAGATCGTGAGACAATGCTCGTTGGCGGGTTCTTTAGTTTAAAGTGAAAAAAAAAAAAAAAATTAAATAAAGATGAGATATTTTTCTCTCTCCATATGTATATATATGCCTCTTTCTCTCTCTATATCTACGTTTCTCTCTCTCATGGCGGACGCTCTGATGCTCACGCGTTTTTGTGGAAGAGCGTGAACTGTATTGGTCCCAATCCTCCAGATTTTCTTCTAGAGGCGGCTGATGCCAAAGAGATTGGTCAAATTTTTTCCACGTCGGATATTTATTTACTTAAGAGTTTGATTTGTCAAACAAGTGTGGTAAAATAGTGTTATTGAAAAATAAATGATTTGTTTTAAAATGTCGCTTGACTATTTTTTATTATTATTATTCTTTTTTTTTTTCTTTTTTTTTTTTTTTCTTTTTTTTTTGTATATTATTCAATTGCATCCGTTGCAACCGATTCACAAAACATTTTGTCTTCTTGTTTGGCCTTTGGCCGATAAATAAAAACATACTACTCCTTTTCTTTTTCTTCCATAAATGCCCTCAGATAACTGAAAAGGTAAAAACATATTATTTTACCTAGTCTATGTGACTACCCATGTGTCAAATATAATGGGATCTATTTTAAAATATAAGTTAATTGACTATTTGAAAAGTTGTAATCTTTTTTTAAAATTTATCTTAATCTAGTATTTTTTTTGCAGTATATATTTGTTTTATATTTCAAATTGTATATTTATATTTGTTTTATATTTCAAATTGTATCTGTGTAAAGACAATTGAGATATTTCAAATTGTGTTTTTGATTATTAATATTCATTTATTACTTTAGATATTTGTTAATAGTATAATGATCTATCTAATTCCCAAAAACAAAGAAAAAAAATTGTAATAGTATGAAAAAATTATAAAATATTGCAGTTTTTTCTCTAAATTGTGTATACAAGTCAAATTATTAAATTTGAGTACCATGAAACTTACAATGAAAAATAAATAAATAGATGATATGATTATGGAAAACTAAAAAGATAAGGAAATGGATTATAGAAAACTGAAAAGATAAGAAAAAGGGAAATGGAGTATTTTATAGAAACAAACTAGAGTGGTAATATATTTATTTAAGTTAAAATTTTGAATAAACACAACATATTTTTATGTCGGTCTAAGCAAAACAAATTTTTTTTTTACCAAACACGTTTATTTCACTATTCACGGCTATATTACTCGACAAAAATTAAAAAAACACACAAAAAAAAAAAAAAAAAAAAATCCCTGAGATGTTGTGATGTGTTACCATTTTCTACTATGATCCAAATAAAACAAATTTGAAACTTGAAAATTCAACAATAAACAAAACAAAATTTATGCATGATTTCAAAAAATTTGAAACTAAATTAATGGAATATTGTAAATGAAATTTAGAGCATCTCCAACAATTTGTTAAAACATCATTTTATGTAAAATATACACTGTCATATATGATATTATAATTTTTTTTATTTATTTCCATCAGTCTATTAAGATACACTGTCACGTCATTAATGTGTTACACAACTTTTTTACATAGCCATATCAACATATTTTCTTTTTCTTCCTTCTTTTACATTCCATTAAATAATCAATCCTATATTAAGTAGGTTTGTAAAAATTATGTGGGGTCCTGACATGACATATAGTCAGTTGTTATTGTAGAATATATTTTTACACAAAATGTATAAAACAACCGTTAGAACTAAAAATAAATAATCAAAATTTTTTTTTGTGTAAATCTATTATCACATATCAGATTTACACAATATATATATATATATATATATATACACCATGGTTGAAGATGCTCTTAGTCTCAAGGGTGGAGCCAGTGTGCCCAGACACGTGCCCCTGGCTTGGCCCCACTTATTATAATACATATACTAAATTTATGTATTTATATATATGTGTGTGTGTGAAAAAATTCATATAATGCCCCACTTAAAATTTTTATTTTTTAAAATTATCTCTTATATTTTGTATTTCTTTTCTTTGTTACTCTTTAAATTCATTTAATTTCCTTTAAAAAAAGTCAAAATTTCCTTTTTTTAATCAAAGACTAATTTTTTCTCCCTCTCAAGTTCTCTCATTTTTCTTTCCTTTTTAATTTTTTTTTTTAACTATTTATTTTTCTTAAATGACTCATTGATTGACATATTACTTTAAGTAATTTTTCTTCTTTGCCTCTTTGATCATTTGAATAATCTATATTTATTGCCATGTTTATTGATTTAAAATTTTTTTTTTTTACACTGCCCCTCCGAATTTAATTTTTAGCTTCGCTTCTGCTTAGTCTAATGCTATTTTTTCATCTTCTTTCAAAATAGAAATTTGACGGTTATGGGTGCCTCCAAATTTTGCTGTCTTATATAATTTTTTTATTTATTGCCTACTTGAGACTTTGAGAGTGCATTTCTTTAATCTTTGAAATTTGTAATAGCATATAGACTATAGTAATCTATACCGTTATTAAAAAGTTTTGATTATTATTTTTATAATGTAATTTTAATTTTTTATAATATTATTTATTTTAATAAATTTATAGAAACAAATCATTTCATTAACTCTTAAGTGTTCTTTTCTACTTCTATTTCTTCTCCCTCTAACTTTCATTCCTAATACAAACTCCTAAAAATAAAAAAATAAAAAAATAAAAAATCTATATCTACGTGATTTCCTTGCTTGAGATTTCTAGGCACTCTGTAACTGCTTCACTATCATCCTAACAAGATATATATATACACGGTTCGGTTTAAAGGGTAAACCAAAACTGCTTCACTATCATCCTAACAAGATATATATATACACGGTTCGGTTTAGAGGGTAAACCAAAACCAAATCAATTGTAATTGTTTCTTAAAAACCTAGAGTCAAACCGGACTAAATGATCGTCTAATCTGAACAAAAGTAACATACTAACACTGTCTAAATTAAATCAAGTTTTACTCAACCCAAATTTTTTTCTAAAATTTTCTCTACTATTTATACTCAGTAGTGGATTTTTAATTCTAAAATTTAAAAGTAACATACTAAAAAATAAAGTAATATACCAACAATAATTATAATGTTATTTTATTAATATGATTTATTATTATTATTTTTTAATCTTGACAGAAATACTTGCAACCACTTACCTAGGAAATTTTGTGAGGGGGGCCGCCTTTTATTTTTGTGGGGACAAACTTATATAATGAGTCCATTTTTGTAATTTAAATGGGTTTTTTTCATTTTTTTTATAAATAATTTAAAGTATATATAAAATGCAAAAAAAAAAAAAATCATTGAGGTGAATTGTAATTTTAGTGTGGGCATATTAATAAATTATCAAAAAATTGAAGCATAAAATGCCAAAAAAAAAAAAAAAGAAAAAAAAAAAAAAGAAGAAGAATCCAGGGGTGAATTATAATTTTAGCGAGTTCATCTTTATAAATTTTAGGGTAAAATGCTCTCACACCCCTTGAACTTTTGGTCAACATCACTCAGCAGTCAGTCAACGCACTTGTTTATATCGACACTTCCCGAGGTTTCAAAAGTCATATTTATCTCTGATTATTTAATTCAGTTAATTCACAACCTATCAAACCTATTAATTGACAAATATAACACTCACTCACCTTTAAAAAAAAAAAAAGAAAAAAAAAAAGAAGATGAATTAAAGGTTTGCAATGAGTATTATAAAATAAATAAATATATATATATATATATATATATTTGGTGTGTTTGTTTATGAATATTGCGGTGGTAATAGTGGTTCTACATGTTGGTTGTGAGGAGAAAGAGAGAATTAAAAATGAAGGTTATTTGGTCCTTCAAAATTTAGTCTATAGGGTTATATTGGTAATTTATACTTTTTATGTATTTGTTGACAAAGTTAAAGGGTTTAATGGTCATTTTTTCGGGTGTAAGAGGTGTAGAGAAGGTGTCAATGTAAACTAGTGCTTTGACCGGCCGTTGAGTGGCGTTGACCGAAAGCTGAGAGGGTGTGAGTGCAATTTATCCTAAATTTTAAAACATTAAAGTATAAAATAAAAATATAAAAAATCACCCACTTATCGTATATATAGAGACTTGAATTCCTTTCATTTTGAGAAGTATTCTGCGGTATTGTATAATATTAAATATTAATGTGAATGAAATTAGGATTAATAAAAAGGTTTTTTTTGAGTGAAACCTATAATAAGAAAATAATAATTATTACAAATTAAAAATCAAACATTTTTTTTTTTTATGGACATGAATTTTAGCTTCTAAATAATACGCACTATATATGTGTTCTTAATCTTAAAAGTAGCATCCTCATTTTGGATTATGTGTATTTTTGTCCAAAATGCTCCTAAAGCACTTTTGCTTCATGCTTACACGTGACAAATTTTGATAATATCATCAAGATTGTGCCTTTAAGGAAGAGGTCGGCAGCTAAAGATCTTAACCAATAAGGGAACGCCGGTTTGACTTTCAGCATGAAATACTTAAATCCTTTTTTTACTATTTTATTGTAAACTATTTATATATAGAAATTCAGGTAATTATTTATATATGTATTCATGATCACCCATTTTGTTTCCTTCTGGATGTTGCTATTGTAATTACATTCACAAATTTATTGTGAGATTAGGAATTAGCTGCAGCCAACATCTTTTACGGAATAACTGTACCATGCGGTGAAGGCCGACAGGTTTGCATACAAAACACCGCCATGGTCTCTAAGGTGGCATCACACTACATGTTTATATCACGAGTTTCCTAAACACCACTATTATTTTTTTTTTTATTTGTACCGTTGCACTTTGCAATGGTTGTATTTGGTAGAATGACACACACAAAATTTTCTCCATAAACTGAGAATTTGACCCCCTCCACAAGGCCTGGAACAAATGCCAGGAATTAGCAAAAAATGCTCCTTTAATGGTCCCTTTCATAAAAATAATAAGAAAGAAATAATACACAAAATAACAAAAAATAAAAACATTTTAAGATGGGTTCAATTCAAATCGAGACTCAAGATGAGAACTTAATGCTATATTTAATGCGAGGGGAGGGAGTAGGAATGTATCAAGTTTCCATTTTTTTTTGGCTTAAATGAGAGAGAGAGAGAGAGCCGCCCGCCCGCGAGGGGCGCGGAGGGAAGGGAAAAATAACAGCTAGAAATGTACCATCTATTTTGTAAAAATGTCTGGTATATCTCTTGTTTCTCTTCTATTTTTTAAAATTATGTTTTAAATTATAATACTGCACTCTAAAATTTAAAATTTATTTTCATATTATTAAACCTGATCCACCCGTTATTAGAAACAGTTTAATTAGGGTTGCAAATGAATATGAATTGAGCCGAGCTTTGGCTTCTTTGGGCTCGGCTCGCCAAGGTAAGAAGAGTGCTAAGGCTCGACTCAAGTTCGCATATTATGAAACCAGCCTTCCAATCCTCATCATCTCCACAACAGTCTATGTCCTTCGTAAAATCAGTTTATACTATTCATTCCTTCATAACTCCATCAAATAAGGGGGAAAATGGCTATCAAGAGAGAACACGGTTCTGAAAGTTAGAGAAAGAAGATGGTGGTCAAAATAAAGGAAAAAAATGGCTATCAAGGGAGAGAGCATGGTTGGGAAAGAGAGCGAAGATGATTGTGAAAGAGGGAGAGAGTAATAACCTTTGTTGTTGTTTGATTACGATCATGGCATCAGTTGCCTAGAGTAGCTGTGGATCTGTGATGGATGTTGAGAGGTTTCCTGTGGCTGCCGTTTGCGAGTAGGGTGGGTTTCTATTATTTTCTTAAATTATGACATGTGCAACGTAAGTGTAATCCAACAGTGGTTATAAATCTATGGATTATTGGGCTTGTAGGCTAGTGGAATAGATGGAGGATTTATAAGCACAAACAACTACATGGGCCTTTAGAAACTTATTTGGACTAAATATCATTAGCAAATTTTTAAAAATAGGCCTTTTAACTAAACGAGTGTAAAAAAATGAATTCGAGCTTAGCTCGTTTACTAAATGAACGAGTCGAGCCCGAGCTGTTCATGAACGACTCGCTTCATTTGCAGTCCTAAATTTAATACTCACTTTGATCGGATCCTTTGAAGACCTACCCATAAAAATCACACTTTTTCTTTCTTCTTTTTTTTTTTTTTTTTTTTCGGCAAACAAAGAACAATACTAACAAAGCATTTATACAGTCTTTCTCTACCAAATGCAAAATATGAAAAAATATATACTCTCTCCGTCCCATATTAATTATCAACTTTAAAAATTTTGATTCATAATTTTTGTAAGTCAAAGTTATTGAAATAGACCTCTAGTATAGGATATATGTAGTATATAAGTATATTAAAGGAATATGACTAAAAATAATATCAAATGATTAAAAAATAAAAAGGTGGTAGTGAATTAAAGTTTTTCAAATTGACAATTATTATGGCACGGAGATAGTATATAATTTGTGTTTGATTGTATGAAATTAAAATTGAAGAAATTTTTGATTCAAATTTTTGAATTATTTTTCTCTAATTCTAATTATTTTCTTTCTAAAATTTTAATTTAATGCAACAGAACATAAACACACAAGGCAAAGTCAAGTCCATAACCATATTGTCAAGCAAAAGGGATGTCCGCGTACAAAACCACACTATTGCCTCGGCCACGGATACGAGAAATCGAAACCCTTGAGAGTTGATGTCATAAACAAACTTTGACTTTTTTTTTTTTCTAGCTTTATTTATGTTTTAAAATACGTTTGTTTCTTTTCCCATTAGACAGGTGACCAAACTTGTAATGGGAACAAACGTATCCAAATTCAACCCTTGTCATCCAAGCAACTTGATACAACGATATCTCCATCCTTTCTACATAATTGGATTGTCTCGATTGATAAAGTTATATATATATATAAACTTTATATTGCATGTCTGTGGGAGTGTTGCACTTGTCTGACTAAATGGGCATGATATTATTGAAAAATAACAAATACTAAAATAAAACATCTCAATTTCAAGGTTTTATTATTAATTTTTTTTTTTGGATAGTCAGTTTCAATTTCAAAGTTGAAGAAAATTAAGAATGGGACAATCACATGATATTTCCCATTTAATGTGTGTATATAAGTATGTCAAGTGTATTAAAATTCATCATTTGTTGCATGAAATGATTTTATTCCCATTTTGTCACTCCCAAAGAAGTGCAGGAGATAGTGCATCGGATTAAAGGTAAATTAGGTAATTAAGTCTAATATTAAAAGCCACAAATTGAGCAATTTATTTCGATAATATGATTATGACAATTTTATCTTATTATTTAAATGAAAATTGTTGCCTATCGTGTTTGCAAGAGTTACGATTTTGAAGTAACTAAATATTACACATAAAGTTTTCCCTCTTGATTTTTGTTTTTTAGTTTACTGAGGATTAGTGATTAATTCTTAGAAGTAAGGAGAAAGGTATCCGGTCTAACAGTAAAAATAGAACAGCAGAGCGGAAGCAATAAAACAACGAAATAGTACAAGATGGTGAACAAAAGGGTGCAAGAATCTAACACTGATAGCGAAAAAGGGTGCACCGCAAATGTTGCAAGAGGCTTGCTGAGCCGAAGGGGACGCCAAGTGACAGCGCCACCAATTTAGAAGTAATGTGTCTCCCTCTTTCAATTCTCATGTGTTACAGGAGGTAAATTAGATGGTAATAAAACGGGGCAGTCTTAAGCAGGAGTGACCTTTTGAAGTAGGCAGTGGAAATGGAAGTGCCCTGAAATAGAGCAAGGAGGTAAGAATCAAAAACAGAAACTGGACGAAGAAAACCCAAAGTATAAAGAATAGGTAGCGTCCCTCAGCCGCCATAGTTGTCTTGCTATTGTATGAGTGGTTGAGTGGTTCATTGTTGACTTTAGCCTCATTCTCAATCTTCGAACTCAAAACACCGACCTTTTAATTTTCAACAAAATCAAACCCACCACCTAACCACCTCTCTCTCTCTCTCTCTCTCTCTCTTGTTAAACTTAACCACCATGATTTGATTGTAATGGAACTGTTTCTGTGTGTTAAAAGTTAATTGATTTTGTAGCATTTTGGGTTTCGTCTATTGGCTTTGCAGTGATGGATCGTCGAGATCCGCCATCAGATATTCAGATTAAGGTTTACTCTAGGCGAGGCGGCAACGTGATTCATCCGGTGGAGGCCGACACGCCGCTGGTGTCGTCTCCAGGTCCCGCTCCGGTTGTTTATCAAGAAATCAAGCATTTCAAGAAATGGGTACCCTGGTTGGTACCTTCATTTGTGATCGCCAATGTTGTGATGTTTCTGATCACCATGTATGTCAATAATTGCCCCAAAAATTCAGTTTCTTGCATTGCTGGCTTCTTGGGAAGGTTATCGTTTCAACCCTTTAAAGAAAACCCTCTTCTTGGGCCTTCATCATCCGCGTAAGCTCTTCTTCTTCATCCCCTTATATGTGTGTGTGTATATATATATGTATATATATGTAGGCATATTCAATTAGATCTATATCTAAGTTCAAGCTTTCGAAATTTTATATTTCTTTTTTTTCTTTACACAGTTCATAAAGGTAGTGTTATCACCAATTGAATTCCACAGACTGGTGTTAAGGCATAGGAAGCTGAAATCATTGTAAAAAATTTAACAAAATTTTGAAGGATTCTTACTTGTTAAAGAAGAAATGGCCACATACATAATTGAATTGCAAAATTTGGTTTGGTGTAGCTAGTATACCAATTGCAGTAGTTAGATATGAAATATGAAGCTCTGTTCATTACATGACTATGTGTGTGTGTGCACACTACACACTATAGACACTAGTTGAAGGTCTGACCTATGCGTGGGATCACACACACAAAAAAAAAACAAGGATTATTTGTAGTTGTGCGTGTGTATTTGTAGCTGGACCAGAACTGGATAATGTCCCTTTTATATATATTGACAAATAATTATTATTTTTGTATCTAAATAGTTGTGTGTATATTTTGTTAGATTAGAGAAGATGGGGGCTTTAGATGTGAATAAAGTGGTTCACGGACACCAGGGGTGGCGCCTTATCACCTGCATGTGGTTACATGGTGGAGTTTTCCATTTGCTGGCCAATATGCTGAGTCTTTTAGTGATTGGCATTCGGCTAGAGCGAGAATTCGGGTTTGGTACGTCTTATTTCATATTATGAATATTTCTATGCACAAATCATCACTCAATATTCCGAAAATTTTAAGAATACAAGTAACATTTCCAAATTCAGTGTTGAATCCATGGATCTTAGTAGTCCAAAATTCCAAATTCAAGTGGTTAGTGAACGAAAATGTAAATTTACCTTGCATAAAACATTTTAGCTTGCCTGTTGGATTTTAATGTCAGAGAACTGAAAGCTTGACTTTTATTTGAAGGAAACTGAGATCAGTTTAGTTTAATGCGCCGAGTCATTCTCCTGAATTTCTCAACGTCTATTAGGGATTTTTTATGCCATTCAATATGGCCTCAAAGTTCAACGGAACATAAATTTTGAAAAAACAATTTTACTGAATGACCAACTCCATATATGCTTTTAGTAGATATGGCTGAGTTTTGTTGCTTTTGACAGCGCGATTGGCTGAGATGCTGCGTCATTTTCTCTGCTAAAGAAGAGAAGCTAAATCATTTTTCGTTGTGATATAAAAAAGTAGCAAGTAAATAAATTATCATAAAATTTACAGCTTATAGATACATCTTGAAGAATCATGATCCACATTCCTCACAAGATGTGATCTCTCCTTTACATATCAAATAGCGACCAAAAAGAAATGAAGGAAACTAATAACCAATCTTTCACATTTTAGTTGAAACTGAAAATTTGTCAGGTTTCTGCATAATCAAGCATTTGGTGCTCATGAAGCTCTCAATAGTGATCATGCATTTTTATAGTTAATATAGCATACCAACTGTCAATTTTTATGTTTCTTTTTGTTTGTGATGATGTTTTTTGTTGTCCATATCATTTCTTTAAATCAATAGTAATGATATTGCACGTTTGGGTTTTAGGCTTGCATTCTGCTATGTTATGGTGAAATGTCACCTTACCCGAAAAAATGTTCTTATATAATCACAACTGAGTGTGGCCGTTTCTTGCTTATTTTTTGTTTTGTTTTTATTCTCAAGTTTGAATTTGTAGTCCCATCCGTGGTTCAGGAAGGTTTGTCCCTCAAATTGTTATGGTGAAATGTCACCTTACCCGAAAAAATGTTCTTATATAACAAAGTCTTATTTGAAAAAGTAATCACAACTGAGTGTGGCCGTTTCTTGCTTATTTTTTGTTTTGTTTTTTATTCTCAAGTTTGAATTTGTAGTCCCATCCGTGGTTCAGGAAGGTTTGTCCCTCAAATTAACTTAATATCCTTTTCTCGCTTCAGTCCATAATATTTTATGTAGATGTGGTGTATTGCATTGAACCAATTTGTTCCCAGAGAAGTTTTCTGAGTTGTCTCTTTATTGCATTTGTTGCTTTTAACTTTTGTTTGTTTACCTTAAGTGTCCCTAATTTATTTTGATGATGTTTACATTGGTGTTTCGTAACATGAATATGTATGTGTGTGTGTGTGTGCGTGTGTGTGTATATATATATTGTCATTGAACCACAAAAAGAAAAATGCATGTGGACATATTGCTATATCCACTGATATATATTTTTCTATCAAAAAATAAAGTAAAATTAATATCGATATTTTATAAGAAAAATCCAATTATCTATTTGTGTAATTGATATACTATGTACCATATGCCTTCTTAAAAATTCTAGTTGATTTGTCACGATAATGTTATTAGTCTATTTGGTTGTAATTTCTTCGTCAACATTGTTAAGTTCTGTACTATTTAATTAGCATTAGGATTATTTATTTTGAGCAAATGGAAATTTTCTATTGAATCTTTGCTTATTTTTTGTTTTGATGATTTGCCTATTTTTATTCTGTACTTAAACTGTTAAATTACCAGTATGTGGTTTTGTGCCTTGGAGAATTCTCATTCCCTTATAATCAATTACTGTATTGATTAATTCCAAGATTTTAACTGCAGACATTAACCAACTGAAATTGTGAAATTTTCTCTCCTGCCTACTAAGGTTTATATGGAATTTTTCCTACCTCAAAGAAAATTTATTTGACATTGTTGACTTCCATTTGGTTGTATAGTTAACTTATCATCATTGCATTCTATTTCTTCACTGGTCTTTTAGAATGAACATTTTCCTTATAATCATGACAACTTTTTTACGCATAATTTTATAGGAAAAATATCTATTATGCACCATAATCATGTGATATTCTAAAATTTAGTTTCATTAAGAAGTTCTATATAATTCACCAAAAATTGTACAACTAGTAATACAGTTGTAATGAGTATCCAAGTTGACATTGATATGTATTATCCACCAATGGTCAATATCCTGGATCTGGATATATCATCTGTCATGGACATTCTGGACTTCCTGTTAGATATTTTAGACCTGTTCTTGTTGGTACTGGACTTCTTGTCTTCATAATTGATGCTCAAGTCCTTTAAATCCAGACCTTGGTGAAATGCAATGTCAGTTCACATGTTTTATAGGCTTAACTTAATCTGAAAGTCATCTGTAGTAGTTTGAAGTCACCATGCTATTGGTTTAGATTTCATTTGTGTTGCACTTGACAGGCTCATGATAATAGTCCAGAATTTCTTCTTTTTTTGTCTACGTCTCTCTTTTCTCTTTTCTTCTCAAATACTATTGTAGTCAAAGATGTATAATTTATATTGATATTTGTATGGTTTAAACTTGAAATGCTTATTTGTTTCTTGCATGACCTTACAGTACGGATTGGGTTGCTATACCTGATATCTGGATTTGGTGGGAGTTTGTTGTCTGCTCTTTTTATCCAGTCAAATATTTCTGTTGGTGCTTCTGGTGCACTTTTTGGATTACTTGGAGGCATGCTTTCTGAACTCATCACTAATTGGACCATTTATGCCAACAAGGTATTTATCTCTCTGATCTTAACTATGTGTTTCCTTTAGAATTGTGACTCTTCGTTGCAATCATATTACATCAATGTTTTCCATGTGAATTTGTTTCCTTTAGGTGGCAGCATTCTTGACCCTTGTGGTCATAATCGTTATCAACTTAGCAGTGGGGATTCTCCCACATGTGGACAACTTTGCTCATATAGGAGGATTTGTTTCTGGTTTTCTTCTTGGGTTTGTGTTTCTGATCCGCCCTCAGTTTGGATGGGTTAACCAAAGATACGCCCCTCCTGGAAATTCGTCAGCATCAAGCACACCTAAATTCAAGAAGTATCAGCTCGTATTGTGGATTACTTCTTTGATTCTTATAATTGTTGGGTAAGCCTCTGAATTTTTTTTTATTTTTTTTTATTTTTTTCCATTTTTTTTTTCTTTTTAGTACGATCCTTTTCTGATTATATTAGGAAGACAAATTCTTTAAGGCATACTGACCTTGATGGCAAATATTGCATGAGAAAGCAAGTACATTGCTTGAACTCACGGAATCTGATTTTCTAATTAGTTCACTAAAGTCCTTTATTCCTTTGAAACCTGTCACTACAAACTTGATGTCCAACTGTACCACAGATCTGTGTATGTCACTTCTGTTGCAAGTAAGTTAAATGACTATCCGACAATTAAAGATAATGAAAGAAAATGTGTAAAAAAAGCGATTATCCAGTGTTGACCTATTTGAAAAATACAATGGTGAACCATTTCATCATAAATTGCCTGGCAACTCAGTCGAGGTGTATCCCTTATTGTGTAGTAAGGTTTTACCTGCTTCAAAAATTGGCTGCTGCCAAAGACCCTTCTCATCACATGCCTTTAATTTATTTCAAGCTTCACTTGGCAGGAAAGATTAGTCCTTCAGGACCTACGTGTGTATATATATATGCATATATAAGAGGTGGCAATGTAAACTTGAACAATATCGTTGAGGCCACAGGCAAAAGTTGTAGTGCAGTTGATACTTTGCCATATCACCCAAGTGTGAAAAAGAGAAATACAAGATATATAGATTATGTCAAATAGCCAAAGGTGTTGTAGTACATTGGTAATGCTCATAAAGGTACATTTATCAGGGACAGAAAATTAGAAGGGAAGGAGGGACGGAAGAGGTATACCTAAGGAAAAGAATAAACTTTTCCCTTGCATTGGATGTTCCGTAGAGTGTATACAAGGGACTGAATATTCCATGGTTGACCATTTTACCATTTCATAATTAGAAGTCTTTCTCGGGAAGGGTAAAAAATGCAAAAAAAATAGGAGGGATGATACTTCTCTCTTTTCTTCCAATTTTCGGGAGGAAGAGATATGGTAGGCGGAAGGCTTTTCTTCCTTTTCCTTTCCTCTTCCTCTCCTTTCCTCTTCCTCTCTACGTGAAGCAGGAAAGACCTTTCATCCCTCTTTCATTCTTTCCCTCTCTTCATTTGGGTCCTTACAGAACAGACCCTAAAGTTCTAGGATGACATCTAAAAGGAAAGGGTAGCGTTTATAAGAAGAAAAAAAGGAAAGAAATAAATCATATAAATAATGAAACATAAAGAACATGCCTAATGATGATTCTTAGCAACTTTGTGCTGAAATTTCTTCTTCCCTCCATTCCTCCGTCTCCTATTCCTTTATAGTACTTTACACTATAGTTATGCACCTGGCACAATGAAATTTGATTTTGTTTTGACCTAGTATACATGCTGATTTTAACAGATATATCGTTGGCCTGGTTTTGCTTCTTCGTGGTATTGATGCCAATGATCACTGTTCTTGGTGCCATTATTTGAGTTGTGTTCCTACTTCAATGTGGAGCTGCAACACAGAGCCAGTTTCCTGTATGGTAAGTACTAAGTGGTGATCCTTTTCTTCTCTGCATATTTCAAAGGTTCAGCCGTGACTTTGAAGCTAGCCAATCTTTCAATCCTTTGACTGCCTGTTGAATTATCTAAAATATGACATACTATTATATTCTAGTTAAAGGAAAATCATTAAAGAAGGATAAGGAAATGCACTCGCTAGAAAACATGATATAGGCTATGTTACATGGACTCGGGTATGGGTGTCGGACACGAGTATGTATCCATGCGTCGGACGTGTCAAATCTCCAAACAGAAGGACACATGGACACGGCTAAATATTCATTTTATTAATTATTTTATTTTCTAGAGTAAGGTAATGTTTTTATCAAATACAATATTCAATATAGGCATTTAACTCATTTTAAAGTAATAATATTAATGTAATTGAATGATTGGATATGCTTTTTAAGTACATGTCCAACCAAAAGTGGCGGACACATATCCCATACCCATGTTCGAGGGATACGTGTCCGACACGGGTACTTCACTACTTTTGAAGAGTCCATGTAACAGAGGATATAGGTGATTAAGTGGATGAAAGCATGGTTTTAGCAGTCGCACCTTTTTGGAGTCTGATAAAATTAGTTGATTTGATAAGGAAATGCACTCGCTAGAAAACATGATATAGGTGATTAAGTGGATGAAAGCATGGTTTTAGCAGTTGCACCTTTTTGGAGTCTGATAAAATTAGTTGTTTTGGCAAGTCCCACTGTATCAGGCAGGATTTTGTCAAATCAATAAAGTATTTTTCTGCTTATCGTAAACTTTTTTCCCTTTCCAAGCTTGGTTTTATCCAAAGCACATTTGGCATGTGTGAACTCATGATTGGAAGGAGAGAGAATGAGTTTTTGTTTAGGTTTTATGTAGTGATTTACATATGAATGTGACACATTTGAACTTTTTTTTTATCATTGTTGCAGTCTGAACAAATTGGTGACAAGCTCACATTAACGTGTTCAAACAACAATAAAACGCAAACGTATACATTGCTCAACGATTCTCAGATACAGGGGCTATGTGTTCAGCTTTGCCGTTGATTTGTACCTCTTCCACGGATTGAAGCCAGTACAAGTTGTTTTGATGTATAAATTCACAGTGAATGAGTTGTTAAAACGTGTCTCTGTTATATGCTGTTTTTTACACACTTTTCCTCTGTAAATTGACATCATCTTCGGATATAAAGTTCATTGATTTGTTATTGCTGGGAAATTTTCAGGTATGTTTTGAGTTGCCACCAGGCACCAGCCTATAATATGAATATTGAAAATCCTACAATGAATACCATATGGATGTTTGAAGTAGCACTTGTAAGTTGTATTGTGTCTCCATTCAGAGCAAATTGCGGGTTTTTCGATTAAATAATAAACAAAGTGGGATGGTTGCAAGCGAAGACTCTACATTCTCTGTTCTGCAGAAACTACATCTCAGCTGGATATGACTTGTGAAGCATTAGTGTGTGTAAGAAAGGGACCATGATTTTGAATACCTAAAATTCAATTTTCTTTAATGGCCATAAAGGAGTTCAATTTTAATTCATGAGGAAATGAGAAGTGACAGCTACACTACAGCACATGGAGTCAGGTTACTATATTGCACAATGTACTGATGATAGCAGTAATGTTCACGAGACTCATTTCACAAGATTCTGGGTGAGAAAAAAACATTTCTCATTAATATTTACTCTAGCCTTCACATGATTGATTGCATTAGTACGAAATATGGCAAGAGTGGGTCAATATCTCTATTTTCATCATTCATGATGCCATGAATTCTGTGCTTGCAGTTACTTTCAGCAATTACTGTACGAAGGTCCCTTGATATAGTTCTAAAGGCACCCAATAATCACTTTGGACTCTCGGCTGGATGGATGGTTTGCAAACTCCGAATGCACGCAATCACCCACAAACCACGTGTATTATTTAAATCCATTTTCACCTTCGGTGACCAGAGACTTAATGGCCATTGCAACAGGAGTAATGAGTTGGCAGCTTTGGTTTAGAGGGCAACTGTTTGGGTGTTTTGGGCATTGTGAAAGGTAGTTAGATTGGTGGTTGTGATAGTTGTCCTAACTAGTCTCTGAGTGACTACCTACCATAAGAGTGACTTTAGAGAGAGGACCCTCCAAGAATTATGTGAGAGCATGGCTTCAGTCCTACCATTAAACTTATGTAGTCTCAACATTTATGCTTACTGTGAGCCTCTGCACTAATTCATCTGTACAGTCCATTATAAACATATATACAAGTTCATGGACTACGTCAACGAACGGCATGATCATCCATGCCTAAACTTGAACGTTTCGATTATTTATAACTTAATCCCCCTCCGGAAAAAGATTATTGTCACCGGACTAGAGTTTCCATCTACCATTCTCACACCCATGCTGATTCATTAATTTGTGTAGCTAAATCCTCCAACATAAAGATGAAGTGTTCTTTAATTTATTAGTTTCTATTAAGGGTGTATTCGGTTATATGGAATTAGAGTTTTGGAATTGAAGTTGGTGGAATTTGAAAAAAATTTGGTTCAATTTTTTTAGTTATTTTTCTCAAATTCCAGTTTCATGTAGCCGAACAGTTGCATGGAATTGAAATTTTTGAATTGAAATTGGTAAATTTTGGAAAAAAAAAAAAAAAAAAAAAAACTAAGAAAATTAAACTAATATTTTTTTTAAATGTTACAAAATTTAATTCCAATGCTCCGATTACATGCAGCCGAACACCAATATTTTTGCAACTCTTAGACTATCGTTCAAACCACCTACTTCTATTGAAACTGATTTTTTTAAAAAATATTGATTTTATAGGTAGGGGAACAGATAACAGATATGCTAAACAACAGCTCACTCTTAGATCATTTATTGACCCTTTTAAGTTTTGTTCACCAATCTAACTACTTGATGAGCTCTGCCATGAGTTTAGACCTAGCTTTTATGGTGACCCTAAATCTGGTTGACTCTTGAGTTCAACTTGGGAAAACAAATATTTTGTGTCATAAGATGATTTATATCCAATGCCTTGGAACTAATAGCAACAATAGTGTATTATGTGTCGATTATTAAAAATATATATACATAGTATAGTTTGTGTTTTAGTGAGCAAATCCACAGGAACAAACATGAATACAGTTTATTGTTTGGCATCATGCAATAGGAACCTTCAAATTGAATTTAAAATACACACTAGTTCAAACTTTAAACTTGTTTTTTTATTTAATTTAAATATTAAAGTGTAAAATTTCATGCTTCAAAACATAACGAAATTTACAAAGGGTATTATGGTCTATTGGTATCTCCTCTACTTTTCAAAATGGATGGTGAGAGTTCGAGTGGCAAAATGTGTCTGTGAGTGTGTGTTTTTGTTGTGAATGAAAAAAATGATTTTCAAAATGGGCTTCACATGGGCCGAACTGAAATTGGCGAAGGTTTTCGGCCCACCGAGTTCAGGATGTGCTTGGGTAACTCTGGCCTGGCCCAAGAAAGTAACATGATATATACTAAAATGAGGAAGGATTATGTAATTAAATAGAATAAAACTGATTTTCAATAGAAAACTTGACTAAATGTGACTCATTTTTAAATTTTATTTTTGGTTAGACTCAGACAAAATGAAATACTGAGGAATATGTTGTGAAACATAAATGTCTGAATTTGTAAGTGTTTATTATTTATTATATTTTTGGCGGTAAATACGGTTTTATTGGAGTATTTATTTTGGTGTAAGCTGGTAATGTGTTATAAAAGAGTAGTTGTTGCATACACAAGTGTTTTTATTAATATGGTGGTTCAACTCAACCCCTTTTGTTGAATGGGGTTATCATTTGGTTAGCAAATTAGATGGTGACCATTCAATATAATACCAATCCATTTTAAATGAGTCCTAGTCCTAGTCCCTCTCAGCCCCGGCCTCCCATCAGATAATATTGAATTGGTGAGATTGCACTGTCTGTAGTGCCCTACAAATTTAGGGTACATTTATTAGTGATGAGAGAAGATATGCCATATTCATAGAGGTGGTGGTGGGTGGGTGGTCCAGAGAAGTGTCCAGCATTTGGTGGTCTCATGGTCTCCTTTTGGGACGTTCCACTCACATGCTCCTATTTCATCTTTCCTCTCATCCCCATCAATCCTTGTTCCTCCTTTTCATGACACATCTCTCTCTCTCCTCTGTCCTCTCTCTCTCTCTCTCTCTCACACACACACACACACTCATATGTAATGTAATGCACATTTGGGGAGGCTTCTTTAAGTTTTTGAAGAAAGTTTCAAGTTTTAATTAATACTAATGATGAATTTATAATGCACCTAAAATGGGAGACTAATTATGTACAATTGATGATTTTAATTAAAAATATATATATAAATACAATTGACTAGCTGTGATGTAAAGCATCATAGCACCATAACGTGGTTTATGAGGAAAAAATTGTGGATGATGGAACTTTGAAATTCCTCGAGGTGCTAAGAGGAGACATTTTACTAGCTAGGTATAACAGGTGGACGCTTGTTCATTTATTTAAAAGCTTGAATTGTTGGGTAGTGTTGCATATCTATTCATTTATACTCAATTACTCTCGTTGTGGTCGAGCTATCCTGCCCACCTGGGTGAGTCACTCGGACGTCTTTCAGGCCAAGTGTTTGGTGTGGTATCGAATCAAGGGCTGGGATTTTTTCAATCCTCATCCCCGCTTAAAATTTCATCACCGCCCCCATACCTGCCCCCACCCCCGACCTCTTATCCCCATCCCCGACTGGCCCTGATTAACATATATTATTTTTTTAAAAAAACGTAATTTTTCACATATATAATAAATCTAATTTAGTAATAAATTATTAAATGTAAGGATATATTAGTAATTTAATATTTAATCGGGGCGGGTTTACCTCATCCCTGCCCCTTCCCCCGGTGGGTTTTCAAATTTTACCCTCATTCACATCCCCGCTATAAACGGGGCGGGGACCCGACGGGGATGGAGAATTTGTCATTCTTAACTGGGTTTGGGTCTGATACTAACTGTAACGGGCAAACGTTTATTTATTTACTCAAAAACTCAAGTTATTGGATAGTACTGTATTCCTACTTAATTATACCCAATCACTTTTCCATCCGAATTCAATATGGAACAAATGACCCTTATTGTACTAGACTAAAAGACTTTGGCATGTTGCTCTGATCTTGTTGCAACATTAAAAATATAACTTCCACAAAATAACTATTTTATCGTCTTTTATTATCTCTTTCATCACCTCTCTCTCTCTTTCCTCTCTATCCTTATCCTTATGTGCGGTATATTCAATTATAAATATATGTAAGGCTGATAATTATATATTCAATTATCAAATTTTTCTAGATTTATCTTTTGTGAATTCAAAGTATAGTGAACAAATTTATCGCTTCTCATATACAAACATATAAAACATGTGCGTGTAAATAAACGCATGCAATTACAACGTGCCATTAGCGGACTCAAACTCTCAATGTATCATTGGAAAGAATGGATTATATCAAGTTGGGGTAGTGGGCTTAGTACTACAATTGACAAAGTTAGGTGAAGCCAATAGAAACTACACAAGCATAATTGCTAGTTAAAGACGTAATGGACATTTTAAGATAGACACCAATTTTTAAAGATAATTTCAGAAATTTACTCAAACTGCTGAACACATATATATATATATATATAAGAACACCGACATTGTATGTAACAGTGCTCAGTACGTACTTGATCGATGACATAAGCTCCGGTGCGGCAGTGATGATCTGTGAAAACCGTATAAATTATATAAAGTCTTATGGCAGAAATAGACTATAAATTTGGTAGTATATATTCCTAGTTTCCTACTAATCATATTAATAATAAACACTGATATCACTTCTTTTTTTTTTTTTTTCCGTTAAACACTGCTATCACTTTAAATCTCTAAAAGTTAATCTACACTGATAAAGAAAATTCTTAAAGAAAATCAAAATCATTTCAAGTCGATTAGTATTTAACTTCATCTAGATTCTATACATTATGAAAAAATCACACAGAGTAATCTGTTTGTTTATTGGTAACCCTTAATAAATCATAATTAACTTATAATAAACAAGATCAAATAAGTTGCCGTATAATATAATTATGTTATATGTTTTGTCTGTAATGTATGTGTGATGTGTTTGTGTGTGTGCATATTATTGTATAACTTACATATTACTTTGAAAAATGGG